TCAAGCAAACGTTATTAGTAGGTAGGAAAGCACGCGCATAATTTCTTCAATATGTTGGCTTCAAGCAGTTACTTATTGATCAATTTCAAATTAGTCTTTATAAAGTCCAACAAAATAAAATTATAGGCCCTAGTGTTCCTTTGTTACTGGTAAAACTCAAACATCAGTAGAACTCAAACAGCAATAGAGAATCTTCAGGAAAACTATAAAAAAGGAAATGGTTTCAAATGACTTTCACCAATCCGCATTACACTTTAGTGGTAAATAACTGATCCCAATCAGATTGTCTAATAACCAACCAGAATAAATATGTCTAATCATTTGTAGATAACTACCCATGTCTGTAAGTTTATATTTTCTCCGTAAAAATGAAACCTAGACATTTTGAAAGCCTGTAAATTTGATTAGCATTGCCAGTGGAGACTCAGTCTTAGTAGTTAATCAGACGGGTATTTAAGTGTTATCATCAATGTACCAATTTGACGACCTTATTTGATACTATATTATCAAAATACTTTTTTTGCTCATATGTATATTCATTCAGCGATACCAAAAAAAATTGTTTAGTGAAAAAAATCAGTTATTTTTATTTTCAAAGTAACTTCGAGAGGGGATTCTATAGAAATAAACATAATGTAGTAGATAGATCTCTTGCTGAAAACACTGACATGGTAACAGGGCACTAATTTATAATTCACAGTTGGTTTCTAACTCCACACTCCACGTCGAACAGTGGGACAAGTTGATTAGATCAATAAAGACTTCCTGCAGACGGGTTGTTGACTATAAAATAGAAGCCTTAAAAGTATGTACGGTCGCAACACATGCGGTAATGCATGTGGGACGCCGCCATCTGTCTGTGGCTTTGCACCATGCCGACAGAGGTATTTAGACTTCATAATTAGACATAGAACATCGAACATGCATACATTTTTATAATAATTTTTATGGTTTTTAATTGATGGTGTATTGATTTAATACGATTATTGGAGTACTTTTAGAGTCAATGCGATCAATATTCCAATAATCCGTTTAGGTAATCATTACTAATCATAGAAGGTCCACCTAAAATACATACATATATAACTCTTATTAGAATCTAAAAAGCTAAATAATTAGGTTTGTATTTCTCTTATTAGAAAATTATAGATGATCTTCGAAGCCAAAATGTTAGTCCCAAGGGGCAATATAGTCAATTAAACAATATCTATTGCATATAATTCCATTATAGGTATCCGTTTTTAATAACAGTAACTGTAGCTACCTATATTTAGATGATAAAATCGCAATTAAAACTTGCGCACAACTACAAGGCATTAGAACAAAACTCCCGCCATTTTGCGTAATGGCGCGAAAGCCTTTTACCTCGCGCGTTGTGCCTCGCACAGACTGCTTACTACGGAATTACGGACAACATTTTAGCGTGTTTGAAACTCATTGAGTTATTCTGACATAATAGCCACACAATACTAGAAGCACTTTAACTGTTTATTGACGTTTACAGTAATTTGAATCGCATGCTAGCATAAACTAGTTATGCGTACCGTATTATATCATGTCTTATTGATCGGGTAGATATTGAATGGGGTATTTGTGAAATCGGTACTGCATTAATTATATGGACCTAACGGGTAACCGGGGCCCCGGCTCGACGTGCAGGAGAAGGAACGGGGTGGTTTTTAGTCAGTAAGAGTCTGACACTCCCTTCCGCCTCACCCAGGTGGGAGCAGTCATTCGATGATTTTCCCCCTTAAAAAAAAAAATTAATTATATGTATACCTAATGTTAGGTGTGTCAGTGTGTACTTGTTTAATGAACCATTGCAAATCGCAACAATTAGATGCTTATAAAACTTAGACTATTTTGTTGGTGACCTAAACAAGAAATTACAAGTTCGATTAGAAGTACTTTCTATGAGGTTTACAATGGGCGTAAATTAGGCCAAATAATAAATAGATCTCCAATCCTGTGCAACTCTGCTACTGCCTATCAGGGTCTCGATCTTCAAGCCAGTATAGAAAGTGGAAATTCTGTCTTTCCTACTCCCCTAAGGATATTTTTATCCTCCTTAGTTATATGGTGTCACACGCAACCTCAGCTTGGGGTCTTGGATTCTATTCACTCACTATGAGGTATATTTAATTACTAGATAAATTTCAGAACCATGGTTGACTGTTAGAGAATGCCACCCGGCATTAAGTCCGCCATCGTATGTTTTTTATACAGAAGTGTTAATAAATAAATAAATAAATAAACCTGGTTAAGACCAATAGGTATATGATGTACCAAATTAAACATACCTTCCAAAAAAAATTATATTTCACTCAGTGAAAAAAAGCATTTTGAGGAAACATTGGATTATTTTAAACAATCCACCTTCAGCAAAATTGATGATCGCAGTATTTGTATCATAGACCAGTGAGGCTGTTTACCATTGCCTGGCAATAATGGTATGCCTGGTAAACAGCCAAAAGTTTGAAAAAAAACCACTGGAACTGGAACCTGCGACACTCGTGTTGGTGCTCTTTCCAACTCTGAAATTGGGTCTGCTAAGTAAAATATGGCTACAGGCTCACACCATATAACATGAGACTCATAACATAACTGGTAAAAACCTCTGCCTGCCCATTCGGAAACTATAAAGTGTGCTTTTGCAATACTGATTAATTGTCATACACTAGGATTTAATAGAAAATGTCCACTTCGATTAGTCTTGCGTGCCTACAAAGTTTTAATGTTTGTAACAAAATGTCACATACAAGTTTTCCCTTCTGAATGACACCTGTTAATCTGTTATTTCCTTAACCATATCACACTACTTACATTTTACCTATCTACATTTTTACCTATAAAGGCATACAATTGTTTTCCTTATATGGGTTTTCCTCAAGGAGTCATATTGGGACCCAACGTTAGGTCTTCCTTTACTAGTAATTTCTGAACTTAGCAACGCTCTTAACTTTTTTTACAATATCATAAAAGAGTCAAGAGATTTCATGAAAATTTATGGGAAAATTTCATCGTTTCAACCGACCCACGACGTAATGATAGGAACCTCTCTTTCATACCTTACCTATCCCGTGTTACCATGGGAAGTGTAAGCCCTTAGGGTAGAACTTTCTATAGGATAACAAAAAGAGAGAAAAAATCTTTTTATATTATAAAATGAAGATTACTTACAGACAAGTAGTGCATTATTTGTAACTTTAGACACTGTCTGTCCTGCGATGGAACCCTCTGTGAATTGCACGCGCAGTTGACCGGTTTCTATATCAATACCAACGTGTTGCCTAGTGATATAGGATCTTTTCTTTATAAATTTTATTGCTAAGTCTAAGTTGCTGAGTAAATATTTATCGTTACTTTCAAATTTTTTATTGCTCAGGTGGGTACCTTTACTGGCTTTAATGCTGGCGTGTTGTATATTTCAGTTCTTTTATTTATTGGTAGATTGTGTGATGAAATGATGATTTTTTTGTCTTAATGATTAAAAATGCGATTTTTGATGAGTACTTATTAGTATGTTACTTTAAGTAGGTACCTAGGTACTGTTATTGTGAGTACGAGGTTTTCATTCTCAATTGGAGCCGTTCAGGCCTATTTCATATTGGTTATTTCAATTTGAGTAACGAAATCTTAGCATTTGAAATGATATCTACGATTTTGGCAATAGCTCACTGTTGTCTATTTGAGGAATGAAAGACATGATATTATGCTGTTTGCTAGGTTGCTACTTGCTGCGTCCAATGGGGAAGCCAAGTATTTTAAAGCATAGACTATAATAAACAAACAATAAGTTTCAGATACCTACGTAAACTATTTTCATATTGTTGGTATATAACGTAGGCTTGTAGGATTTTCATCATTCCGGTAAGTGCGGAGGCGAATCCCATTAAACATATCTGAACGATTGAGCATTTGTTTATTTATTACAATGCTTGCTGCCGCTGAAAGACTTAAATTTAAAACTTGCAAAATTACACATAGTTAAAAATAATAAATTATTAGGCCAGAGATTAAATACAAAAAAAAATCGTTTGATGGAAAGCTACCTACCTAGTTAAAATTAAAATAAAATAAGTGCCTACAGGGTAGGTATAGATGTAAAACGTGCTATAATTTTTCTAATGCTTTGCATACACTGAGTCTGTAATTTTCCGGTGTAGCCTATTTGTAAATGCACCTGGAGTGCGTATGAAAGCGGGCAAATGTGAAAGCTGCCCAGTCTAGCGTCTAGCGGAGACCAAAGCAGCCCTTGACGCTTTGATTATGACTTGCCTCATTAAACGACTTTGTATAACTTTATGCCGCTTACCATTAGTGGGCAGTGTAGGCATCTCAGTAATGTTAAGCTTAACTAAGTCAAACATACAGTTTGAAAAGGCATTTTACCAGTTATTTTACACGTTCTGGAGTTGTAAGTACCTAGATTTCGTAAGATAATCGAATGGGAACACTATAGGCAGCTATATTTTGAACGTTGTCAATCACTTGAATTTTATCCTGCGTCTTATCCAGCTAATAAAATGATCCCACAATGTTAATTTAATAAGGGATATATGACTTAATGAAAACCGATAGATAACCCTAACAAAGTGTAATTGTGATTTGTGGTTATGAGTAATATTCAGTGGTAATGCATGTAATGGTGGATAGCCGCAAGTAGGTACCTAGGGCTAGGTATAGTATAGGTAGGTATCGTAGAATAAAATCATCAATAAATGACATTTATAAATGCTGCGTAAAAAGAAACGAGTATTGTCTAAAAACGATTCAAACTTTTACAAAATTCCAAAATATTTGTTTCGTCTTATATTTGAACTTATTTTTAACTTTTATAATTAATTAATATTTTATTCCCCATTTGAGTTACAATGATAGCTATTGGGCTTTTGGCTAAAAATACGAAATCGACCACTTTTTGAACCTGGTATTACTGATGACATCGCCATAGACCAAATTTCTAAATTGGCCACACTGAATTCTTCAGTCAGTCAAAAATGGGGCTGTTGTCAATTTATTTCAAACCCAATTTTTTGGGTTTGTTAAAATGTTTAAACAAATTAAATTGGTTCATTGTGTTCTTTAGTTTAATTAATTTGTCGGTATGCATTTACGAAGACCAGATCGGAAAATTCGACTGGTAAGTGAAGATTTTAGGTTATAGGATTCCTATGTCACTGTAGGCTCTGAGTTGACTGAATTTTTAATGAAATTATGATTTTCAGGCGTCAAACATACGTGGGAAGGATCAAATTTTCCCAATTTGATACAGTATCCACGGCTAAGAAGATAATAGTCGCTACCGAGGAAAATGTTTTGGCAGCACTGAATTTAAAAACTGGTAAATTGATTTTATTGAATGTATCCGTTTTATATGTGCCAAACCGGCGTTACTACGGTAATCTACGTATTGGTGTAGAATCACATTTTTGTGAATTAATTTAATTATTTAATTAATCACAGTAACAGTTGATTGAGTACATACATTCTACATATTTGATGTAATCAATATTTGTTTAAATTGCCCAGTCATTGTTACCTCATTTACTTCTATCTAATTTTCTAATTAGAGTAACAATCCTTTCAACTTTTCTTATTACTTGTAAGAACATAATATTGGTGAATTTATTTAACACAATAAATAAATAATGCCATTACCATAAAAATACCAATTTGTGCACATCACATGAAAACAGCTGATAACTACTATTTCGTCAGAAATGTAGTGTTGTTAATAATACTCCTTACCCATTAGAAACAAGTTGTATGTAGTTCAAAGAACATAATAAATAAGATAAGCAGCACTAACTCTAGGTACAGGTAAAATAAACTAAACTTATTATAATAATAGTACTTCAAGTTTATCTTTTAAAACAGGTTACAAGATTTTCCTCAATGCACACTAAGCGCAACCTACAAGTAACATACCAAAATTAAGTTTTATTAAGTTGAATCAAATCCATTCATCATTGTAATATCCTACTAATATTATAAATGAGAAAGTTTGATTATTTGTAGTAATAAAGGAGGAGTTAGTAAAGTTAGTAGTACTTGAAGAATTACCTTCACATCAAAACCCATTAAGGAATTACAATGAAATTTGAAATAGGTGTAGGTTATGGTCTGAAGCAGCACATAGGCTATTTGTTATCGCACGGAACACGGGAGAAGCCACTATCAGAAGCTAGTTATTTCAAATTTTCTAAATAATGAATTATGGTTGAAAAGAAATGAAAAGTCATCCACAAATGTAGCTAATTTTAAAGCATTTCAATCCTGAATTAGATTGATCTGAAAGTTGTATCACAGCAGTAGAGTTATATCAAGTGTTTACAAACATGTGTGAGAGTAAGCATCTTTCATTGCATACTTTTATAGGTATTTGTATACAAAGATGCTAACCCTAGAATGGGTGTGTTCTGAACATTTGGCCGCCCACACTTAAAAAAGTGGATAACTTTATAAGCAACTAGCTTCTGTTCGCGACTTCGTACGCGCAATTCCATTTTCCTCGTTTCCGTTCGTAATTTTCGGTAAAAAGTAAAAAAAAATGGATAAAAAGCGTGTCTGTCTCCTGATTCAAAGCTCCCCAGCAATTGTCATCCAAATCGGTTTAGCCGTTCTTGAATTATAAATAGTGTAAGTAACACGACTTTCTTTTATATAATATAGATTGCCCGATAGTCTTGTACTTTTAAATAGCTGCCTCTAGTCTCGTTTGCAATGCGTGCCGAAAGGGTTGGCGCTGTAAGTGCGCTAGGGACCGGTTGAGAAGATGTTTGTTACCACCAGGGGCTTACTCTTGAATCCAATTCGTATCGATCGACATTGGTATTGTGTAATTGCGTACTCTCAAGTTGCAACACTAGCGCCCATTGCATCCGTATTGCGTGGATATTGAATGAATTTATATTCTGTACTCTGAATGCTATTCTAACAGTTATGGTAGAGGTTATATAGTTTGAGATTGAATAATTATTGAGTTTTCATTGGATTGAAATTGCATTGACATTGAGATTGGTTTCAAGAGTAAGCACCCTGGTTTTGCCAGGCGGCAAAATGCTCCCTACGCGCCCACAGACGTCACAAATAGGTGCGCTCAGTTTAGGGTTAAGTTGGAGGATAAGTAGCATTTTATTTTGAAGGCAGAAAACCTATCAGAAAACTACTATTTAAAATTGTAAGTATGGTCTCTGAATAAATAGGACAGACTCTTGCCAGTTACATAATGAGTTTCATGTTATAAGGGGTGAAGTAAAACTGTACTTTTAACTGATCAATTCCCAAGCGGTCACTGGTAACAACTCTACACTAACTCCATTATGGACCTTATTTCCAATGTTTAGATACTACTTTTGTATGAACAAATGTTGAGGATTTTTCATAATCCTACTTAAAGAGTTAAAGAGGCCTATGCCCAGTAATGTACAGAGATGAGAGACTGATGATGAAGAAAGAAAGAAAAACTTTATTTCACACGCTAAAACAGGTGACACGTACAGATTTTACACATAAGTTTTTATAAGTACATCTACTAATGTCCCAAGTCTGCGGTGAAATGGGACCAGTTCAGCATGTGCAAGACAGGGCCTCGCGCTGGTATTCTACTGGCCCCTTAAGTGACTCGCGGACGAACAAGACACCAATCAGACAAAAACACAAAATAAAATGCACAAAACAAAACAAATATATAACAACAAAAAAGGAAATTAAAAAAAACGTGCAACCTACCAATATCTATCTAAAAAAACTTAAAGTAATAAAACAGAAAACAAAGTGAAGACCGAAATTGTATTGGTTTGTCTTCCTAAATCAAATATTTGGTAGACATTCCTTCTATTTTTAAAATGGTGATAAACATTTATAGCAGGCCACTAAATAAAAATGTTGGTTCCATCAGTTCACATTTGGTTATAAGGAAGTAATTTGTTAAGTCCCCTTGTATTGTTTGTATGGTGCCATGTTGTATTGTTTATTGTTATAACCTGTGGTTTTGTTTCCATGTGTTATTATAATGACCTGGTTATGGATTTCACTCTGTTGGATAATTACAGGTTTATGATGTTGATGATAAAGTGATTTTTAATAAATAATTGTTCTTCTCAGGACAAGTGGTATGGCGTCATGTGTTCGAGAGTGCCTCTACAGGCAACATCCAGCTCCTGCAGATTACAGAGAAGGTGGTCACAGTCTCCGGATCCAACCCTTACTTGGTACGAGGATGGAACTCTGCTACAGGTAATAAATAGCATGGCAAATGATAACTCTAAACTCCAGTTTTTACTTACTTACAGTGATATTTAAGCAAACATAACATCACGCCTTTTATCCTCAAAGGGGTGGGCAGGTTCCACATTACGGCAATTAGTGCCACTGTACAATGTATCACCCACTTTTCACATTTATGTTATGCGTCCCATGTAATAGGAGGTGAGCCTATTGCTATATATCGGGCACAATTCCAGATTGCGTGCTGCAATTGAATTTTTTTTAAAAACCCAGTAATATTTGCTCTGACCCAGGATTCGAATTGAGACCCCTTGGCCGGCAGTCACATTTAAGTCATGTCTATTAAAAGTGTACTTTAACACAGGGTGTCCAAACAAAGGCCCTTAATTAGCCGGTGAGGGTTAATAGTTCGGACAGCCCTGCTTTAACACATTAACTGCCACTGCTTAGCGGATGATTTGCCTTCTAGAGCCTTTGTTTTCTGTCGACAAACATCTGGCAGTGATCCAAACAGTTATCATTTTAAATGCACCATAAGTATTTATTATTTTTTTTGAAGGCATAATAATATCTTGTAATTATTATGCCTTCTATAATTATTATGCATTCTATTGTTTCAGGCGTCCTCCAATTTGAATGGTCTTTAACTCTTCAAAATGATGAGCAAGCGGACTTCTCAGAGTGGTGGGTGCAGAATGACATGTTGGTTCATATGCTGCCAGTGTTTGGATCACATATTGAAGTCACCATGTATAACCTAGCCACTGGACAAAACAGGGGATCTACCACCAAGTTACCTGCTGTATGGGCTAATGATGGGTAAGAATTTTATGAATATTAAAACTGTATAATTACGTAGCTAAGAACAACATAAGCCAATATGTGAATGTCATAGATGGAAACTTGATTATATGACTGACTGCCCATATCGGTGTATTTTGTGTCTGTTCCATAATCATATTTACCTATCCTATCGTTGCTCTTGATAATAAGATGAAATGCAAAATATTATCTTTAATATTCTTTAGATAAATAACAATTGACTTTGACCCCATTTTCATTCAGTTCAAACTTCTATACAAGATGGCAATATTATGGTTATTACTAAGGTACTTTTTAATATTACAGATGCATAGTAACAGCGCCATACTACACATGTATACACGGCCCAATGGGTAATCAGCAGCTGTTCTCTTTGGACGTCACTTCAAACACAATGCATCTTATAAGCCAGCCACTGTCGGAATACGTTACTTTGTCCTCTTACGATGGTAACCTGCGACCCCTTGATGGCAACGGTATAATACCAGCGTTCACAGTAGATGATAGGAAGATTATTGTAATAAAGAACAGTCGGTTTGAGTTGTTGAAGACTGATGTGGTGGATCCGTCGGCTAGCGTGGCGATTGTAGACATCGCGAATGGTCCCGTTGTTCTACAGACTTGGATTGATGATACACAGGTAATTTTTATAAAGTCTCTATTTTTTATAATACAATATAGTTTTTATGGCATAAGTTGGTAAACGAGCAGATGGATCACCTGATGGTAAGCAATCGGCGTCGCCCATGGACACCTGGAATACTAGAGGCGTTACAAATGCGTTACCGGCCTTTTGGGGATTAGGAATTTGAGGATCGTTGGGGATTCAGGAATTGGGGAGAATGGGGAAGGAGAGGGTAATTGGGCCTCCGGTAACCTCACTCACACAACGAAACACAACGTAAGCGTTGCTTAACGTCGGTTTTCTGTGAGGCCGTGGTATCACTCCGATCGAGCCGGCCCATTCGTGCCGAAGCATGGTTCTCCCACACTTAGTATACTAAAATATAAATAATAAAGTACTTGTATGGAAAGTACTTCAATCAGTTTAGTATTTCATATCACAAATTCTTTGTCTGACTTATGGATTTACCCGGTTTCATATTGAAACTTATCTACTTATGTACACATTAATGCAATAAAGAATTTGCATTTTTGTTTGAACTAGAAACTTCATATTGGACAATCAATGTCATGTCCACATTTGTATTCGTGACATTATTTACTATTAGAAATAATTTGATTTTTAAATAGTCTTCTTGTCTTCTTTTCAGGGCTTCTCAATGCGAGCTAACAGCGTGTCAACGGGCGCTGAAGTGGCCGAGCTGCGCACGTCGGACCGCGAGCTGAGGCTGCCCGAGCCTGAGGTGTCGTCCGCCGTCTGCACCAAGTCTGCGCGGGAACAACTCGTCTGCAGGATACTACTCACTGGAGGAGACGACTCCGTACATCTAATGCAACAAGGAGGTATGATATCTTGTATGCTGCGTTTAAATAAGAATATAAAAGTCGTTAAGTACTTCTCAACTTAATAGAAAACTCGAAATAAAAACAATATCGAGTTTTGAAAAATAAAATGTTGTTTTGTACTTCAGACAGTATTGATTATGAGTAAACATTGTAACTTACAATCAGTCCTATATAATGAGGAGTATTTAATTTATTTTGTTGGTGTTGTCAAAATATAGGATGGGGATGATTGGTAGGCTAACAATGTTGATGTAAATTTTTAATAAAACACGTATTTATATTCAGGTCGCATACTGTGGTCTCGGGAGGAAGCTTTAGCGAACGTGGTGGCTGCCGAGTTCGTGGAGTTACCAGTATCAGACTTAGATGCTGCTATTGAGTCGGAATTCGATCAGAAAGAAGGTATGTTGATATTGGACATTGTCATGACACGTCATACTTATTTATTATATGAAGATTTATCACCCAAATATTAACACAAATAACTTTAGAATAGCTATTCATGTTTAAGTAACGGTTTTCTAAGGCGGACGCTACATTTTACGATACCCTTATTTACATTTGACATTTATGTATATTGTTTATTCTACAATTTTATTTATTTATGTATCTTCTTATGTTCTAGCTGCCAAGATGTATAGTAAGTACAGTAGATGTGTGGTAGTGTGATCTTTCTTTGTATTTCTTTGAGTTTATAAATAATTTCACGTGTGTAGAGTGACAAAGAATAACAACTTACACTCAAAACTTCAAGAGTTGTTTGTGTTAGTTTATACATTCAGTTAGTCGACATCGGACATGGGCCTGCATTCTGCTAATAAATACTTGGGAGCAACGAAACGGAGCCTTGTAGGTGTTATTAACCCGTTGAAATTCATTTCTTAAATTTTTCCATACAAAAGTAGTCTCTAAACATTGGAAATAAGGTCTATAATTTAGTTAGTGGATAGTGGTCACCGGTGACTGCTTGGGGATGTATGGGTTAAGATAGTTTTTTCATATTATTATCAGAATGGACATATATAGATATGAATTACTAGAATCGAAGCCTCAGCCGTACATTTAACTCGACACATTTTCATTATTACAACCAAACTGCTGAAATCAGATACTTCTAGCTTATTGATGTTATTCAGATATAATGGAATACCTAAAAAACAGTGAATTACAATGAAATAAAATAGGCTCCAGTGATATTTGCAATCGTAGTAGATGTGTTAATATAAATTCTGAGAAAGCTGATAAGAAAATAGTAATTTTTATGATTAGTGTGTGTTGGCTTATCACCGATAGCCTTTGTTCTTGTTTAGAAAGTCTACCACTAACCTACATTATGCTAACAGACAGGGATGATTATTTCAACTAAGCAGAAACTCAACTTACTATCAAAGTCGAGTAAAGTATTATTGGCTAACATTTTTCATGCACTGAATTGTGCTCAATATGTAGCATTATTTGTCATTGTTTATATTAAAACTTATGAGACATACTAAATTAATTATTATGTTTTCGACTTACTCACGTAACTGTTGAATATGAGCCTCTAGCATGGCTTCAAACTATAGTCGAATTCACAATAGTCGAACAGTTACATATTTGACGAGGAATTAGAATTCATAATAATTATTTATTTGTCATTGATCAAAGTGATCAAATTTTGCATATAATTGTGTTACAAACGCTATAGCATCAAGCTACTTTTAACTAGTAAAAACATGAGGGCTTGGTTGCTAACAAAACTGCGTTCGGCGCCCTGATTGGCCGGCTCCAATGCACCAACCAATCAGAGCGCCTAACGCGGTTTTGTTTCGATCTCGCTAAACGTAAAACAGTACTAAGCCCTCTGTTCAATGAATATTCAATTTTATCTCAAGATAGTAAAGTTGAAATACTTTTTTTATCCTAACTATCGTGGGACATACTTAATAAGTTGAAAACTAGCTTTACTAGTTTCAGACTGCAGAACTTAATAAGAATATTAAAAATTTTAAATAGCTTGATGTTATACTTACTTTACTGCTAGGCATCTTTTTGACGAAATTATTCTATTTTGAAAAATATATTAGGTTCGATATGGGCGGCGTTCTCCCGTCGCCTTCAGACGCAGTTCCAACAACTACAGACACTGGTACACAGCATACAGAGCGGCGAGGTACTGGAGGACGACCCTCCCTCCGCGCTAGTGAGGGACTACTTCGGTCTACACAAGATTATTGTACTCGTCACTGAAGTTGGCAAGGTATTGTACTAAGATTTATATGCATACTACTTAATATATTTACCGTTCTAGAGATTTTGCATGTTATTTTTTCAACAATTTCAAATAACTATTTGTAGAAAAGTCAAAGTTATAGCTTTATTTTAATTAATACTTAATTAAACATTTTTGAAAGTCAAAAATTTTATTTGTCCGTCCGTCTACCTGCCAGTGAAGCTAGACTGTTGATGAGAAGAAAGGTTATTCTGTTTTATGTGATAATTATAAAGTGTGGTCGGATTGAATTGTTCAACACAACAATATGTAAAAATAACGAAGAATTGTGTATACTTCATTAAATACAGAATAAATACACTACTAACAGTTCTTGATGAAGGATTTTCACTTTGAATTTTGTCATCTTTATAATTTTTAAGACCTCTTAAAATGTCTGGCGTGGTTGCTAATGAACCATGTACTAATGTATTCCAGATCTTCGGCATGGACAACCTGTCGGGCTCGATCCTGTGGCAGCACTACGAGGCCCAGCTGGACACGGAGCACGTCCTGCTGTACACGCGCCGCGCCGCGCGACACCCGCCGCACGACGCGTACCTCACGGTCGTCGGGAAACACCAGGTGAGCGCCCACGTCATCCAGTAACTAATACTTATTGTACCATCATTAGAACTAGTAGAAGATGGTATGTATACATAAATAAATAAAGTATCCAATACCCAATATCATGATTGTAAACCATGATCAAGAGTTCATCCCGTTTTATTTAGTAATCGTGGCAGTGTTTAAGAATTTCCGATTAATGCGTTAGAGTATTTTAGGGTGATCTTGTAAATGTCATCATAACGTTTATTATTACTTCTAAATACATTTCTATTTGAAATCACTTGCAGTTTGTTAAACGCATCTCGCGAGAATAATCTGTTTTCTAGGCATAAAAAGTAGTATTTTTGCTGCGCTAGACTATAACCGATTGCTGTCTAATGTCATCCAGATCTAACTATCAGTTTCTGTAAAATATAGCGGAAGAAATATTTATAATTTTACACCCTGTTCTGTTTGTTCAGGAGACAGGCAACGGCCTAATCATCAGCCTGAACCCTATCACCGGGTCCCTCATAGGGGAGCGAGTTCTGCAACTAGACGTCCAACTCCTACAGGTCGCTATACTACACCGAGCTGATAATGAGAAGCTGCACGCTCTCATACTGCTTGATAAGGATGAAAATGTTCAGGTAATATATTAGTGTCTATTTAACATTCACATTTTTTTAGCCTTCCTTTCGGTTTTCCACCGGATATATTTCGGTGAGTGTGCGCAGGTATTGCCCAACTTTAATTACCCTAGTCCTTTCCATCATCGTACCACAAGATAATTGGCGATGCGTCATCCATTCATGGTAGATGTCCCACCCACACGCATGAAGCGCTTCGCATCAAGCTTCCTTGTGCGTACTGCTAAGGAGTGAAATTCTTTGCCAGACTCTGTATTTCCCGAAGGAGAACTTGGGTGTCTTCAAGGCACGAGTAAATAGGTTGCTTATGAAACGACGTGCTCCATCGTAGACCGCATCATCGCTTACCACCAGGCGAGATAGTGGTCAAACGTCGGACCAACAAATATAAAAAAAAAATCCACCAAACCCTTCTTGTTGACTCGTAAAAGGGAGAACTCAACGATCCTAGACATATATACGACCTTTATAGACAATTAATATTTGGCGACGAAGGAATTTTGAACAACATTTACAATATTTTGATTCTTAAGTTACATAAAGTAAGGAACATTTCAGTAAATCAACATCAATACTTTTTTGTAAATATCTACAACTCAATTATAAAAACAATATATTTTGTGTTGTGTTTCAGATTCTACCTCAGTCGGCGGCGCCGTTGGTGGAGAACATGTTCATGTACGTGGCGGAGAGGAACACCGCGCGAGTGCAGGGATACGCACTCATATACAATGGACAGGTCATTACTGCAACCGTTTACTTTAAACAGACTGCCTCATTGGCCGAGTGGTCGTAACTGCGACTGCCGGGCAAGAGGTCTCGGGTTCGATTCCCGGGTCGGTAAAAATTTTTACTGCGTTTTTTAAAAATCTCAGTAGTAGCACGGAGTCTGGAAATGTGTCCATTATATGGCAATAGGTTCGCCCCCTATTACATGGGACTCATAACTTAAATAGTGACAAGTGGGTGTTACATTGTACAGTGGCATTGTATAAGTGCCGCACTGCCTACCCTTTCGGGGATAAAAAGGCGTGATGTTTAGTGGTTTACTTTAAAGTATTATTATACTTTGTAAAATGTTAAATAGGCCTATACTCCGTCTGTTTAGGTAGTTAACTATTTGTAAACAAACCATAAAAAGAGTTCTTTATAGTTGACATTTCCATGATTCAAAATACTTCATAAGAAAATAAAATTGTTTCCGTTTTTACGACAGTTTTCTCTATTAAATGTTATGTTTCTGTTCCTTTTCAGTTATTTCTTAGTAAATATTATATATATCTGCTTGAGGATATTAATTTAATAACATTTATTAAATAATATAATATTTCATTACAATAGACACCATAAAGAGCCTAAAATCCCAGGTATCCAAAACTTTTCTTTAAGAACAAAGCAAAATAATGTTGTCAAATTAAAGAGTACAACTAAGATGTAGCGCGACAATGAAAGTAGCGTGTATTACGTTTAGTCGGTTAATCAGGCGCCATTGACAGCTCTCTCGTCGTTTGCGCTCGTGTTCCTATTTTGTTGAATTTATCTTGTTTCTTTGTTTTGTTTTCGTTATTAAGTTATTCAAGTTTAGGTTATTCATCGTTTGTAATTAATGTGTTCAAATATTTTGAAGAAACTTGGCCCAAAGACACATATCCGTACAAGAAAGAAATCCGTACATCAGATTCAGAATAGTTTCTATTTAAACATGATAATGAAATAGACCCATAGGCAAGGCTCTTGTACGATTTAGGCATTTGTAGTTGTGTTGTGTGTATGACAAATGAACGAGTTTAAAGTGAATTTGGTTAAAATTAAAACACGAGAAATATTTGAAGTAATAGTAGGTTAAGTATCTCTGTGTCACGTGGTTTTCTTTGTTTACCTTTAGTTAATTACCTAAACAGATGGACTATAGTACAAAGTATCCTGCTAGAAGTAATAATAACGTTGATAGTGATTTGTATCTTATAATTTTTCGACTCAACTCCGATATCCAAACAGCTAATTACAACAAACTTCCATCTTCAAAAGCCTTTCTTCAACACTTGGACGTCTTTCGTCTGATGATAATATTAAACTTTGAATGTTTTTATCAACAGACCGTAGAAGCACTCCGTACGTGGTTAGTACAACTGGGCGGGTCAGCGGACGCGGGGCACCGCATAGTGGCGGTGGCGGGCAAGGCGGCCGGGGAGCGGGTTCACTCCCCGGGCCGGGTACTGGCCGACCGCTCCGTACTCTACAAGTACGTTAACCCCAACCTCGTGCTCTTCCTCACCGAGGGACCAGACCCACTGCACAAAGGTATTATAATTTAGAGTACTATATACTAGTATTATTTTGTTACTATATTGGTAAACAGAAATGAAGAGGGTCTATAGAAGATGAATAGTGTGAGGAACAATATAGATGAAACAAGGTCTCTCATGACTGTATCAGATTACTCAGAATCCGAATTAAACAATAAGATCCCGACCTGAAATATATTATGTCAAAGTTTCGTTGCTTCAGAGATTGCTAATGTGATTTTATGTCATAAAATGAAAGTATATCAGTTAATTTCAAAATACTTTGATCGTAAAAACTATCTGAGTTTAAGTGAACATTTGTAACTCCCCAGATGTAGTAGTAGCGACGTGCGTGGACGCGGCGTCCGGCGCCATCGTGGCCGCGCAGGCACACCGCCGCGCGCGCGCCCTGCCATACGTACTGCATACTGAGCACTACCTCGCGTACCTCTACTACAACGACAAACAGCGGAGGAATGAGATCGGTAATTATTATTCACTAGCTGACCCGGCAAACGTTATACTGCCACATTGTCTGACCTTTTAAACCTTTCCTGGATTTCCACGAACATTATAAGACCATACAAACATAAATAGTTGTTATTGGAGTAAAAATACAATAGGTTTTTGCCAATCATTAAACTATTATTTATTTCTAACTATTGTTATCGGTTTAGCCGTTCTTGAGTTTTAGCGAGACTAATGAACGGAAATTCATTTTTATTCATAGATATTGATAGATTATTCTATTTGAAGATGTTTTAAAACTGCTATTAATTATTTCATGTATTTAATGTGTTTTAATATTTGATTGGTGAATCGGTAAACTAACTTCGATTCCGTGACAATTCTACAAGGATCTAGCAAACATATACCTAGCCTACCCAACCTAGTCTATAGCAAACCTCTCCCAAATGTTTTAAGAGTTCTGATTTTCCTCGTATGTTTTAAATGGAATAATGTTACTTTGATATTTGAATAGAACAAAATAAAACAGTCATATAAACGAAACAACAGTTAAACTGGTTTACATATATTTTCATACTCTTATCTATTAACAATTGATCATGATGTATGCAGCGACCCTGGAGCTGTACGAGGGCAAGCAGCGCTGGTCGGGCGCGGGCGCGGCCTTCACGTCGCTGTGGGCGGAGCGCGCGCCCGGCGTCGAGCGCCTCGCGTACATCCTGCCCGCCGCGCCCGCCGCCGCCGCCACCACCGCCACCGAGCGCTCGCTCACTGACAAACACGTGCTGCGTCAGTATCTACCTCACTACTGTACTTTATTGCTGTCTCGTTACACACCATATCGATCTATATCGTCGTCAACTACTAGGCATTAAAAAAACACAAAACCATTTATTTATTTAACAAAATATAATTATTATCCTAGACTATAAACCTTTTGTAACGACATTGTAAGAGACATTGTAGAACATACTTTTTAAAAAAAGAGTAATGAATGGAGTTTCTTGCTCGTTCTTCTCCATTCGAATCTACTTTTTGGAATGAGCACCTAGCTTCACCTAGTTTCACTGACGGACTGACAGACAGACTATTATTTATTTTGTATTTGTTGACGTTTCAAAAGTACCAAACTATGGTTTAATTGAAATAAATGCTTTGACTTTGACTTTAACTTATAAGATAAATCCGAGAATTTGAGATCAGTAATTGAGTTACCAAAATCACAATTTGAATTTTAAACATCAGAATTGACGTTTATACTGTATATTTTCAGTGGCGTTAACCTCAGGCGCAATAATCGAAGTACCGTGGGCGTACTTAGAGGGAAGACGCGGAGGCGGCGAAGAGGGCGCCATGTTACCGGCGCCGGCGCCCGAGATCATGTTGGCGCCCGAAGCTCGACTCAACTACAACCGCACGTTGGCGCGGCCGAGACAACTCTACACTGCGCCCGCCGGACTTGAATCTACTAGTCTTGTGCTGGCCACTGGACTCGGTATGTATTATTCAAACTTAACCCTTTTTAGTACCGTTATTATAGACACAACTAGCTTCTGCCCGCGACTTCGTACGCGCAATCCCGATATTTCCCGTTCCCGTTCTTGAATTTCGTTAAAAAGTAAAAAAAAAAGAATTGGGTAATAAGTATCCTATGTCCGTCTCCTGGTTCTAAGCTACCTCCCCACCAATTTTCATCCAAATAGATTTAGCCATTCTTGAGTTATAAATAGTGTAACTAACACGACTTTCTTTTATATATATATATAGATTAAAGAACAATAGGTTGCGGTCACCGGTGTCCTCGCGGTGTTTGACAGTTTAATGTATGTTGCTATCTTACAGAATATTTGATAAAAATAAATAACTATGCCCTTCTTTGAACAACATTTGATTCATGACTTCATGTTGTTACTGAACTCTATGGTTGCTGCACATAGTTAAAATATAACAAATTCTATGTTAAAACGACACGACGCGGATTGATACAAAATACCAATCGCATCATGAAGTACTTTATTTATTTCAATTTGGATAACCAACAGCTATGTCACAATGAACAATAGAGGTAGTAATAAAAGCTCCAACAAAAAGAGATGGATTGTCCTTACCCAAAATATTAAATCTACTGCATAAAATACTAACTTTCCGACTACTTTTCTCCGAATAAAATGACGAAGCGACCGAATGAGATACTGAAATCTTCGAAAAATAAACATGACTGTTTATTGTGTGCGTTAACCCAGGCCAGATGTCAAAAATGGTCATTTGAATCTTATAGATAATTACAGTCCGCGCGCGAGCTCCGAGGAATCGGGGGCTGCGGAAGCGGGCGGGTGTGCGCCGCGCCCGACCGTCGCTTCATACCCCGCACTATCCCAGTCTAGTGTCGACCTTGACGCGAGAGCACGCTTGTCGAATCGTTGTTTTTAATTTTGCGATAACAGTTGTACTTTCGTTGAACTATAAGTAGTACTAGTGAGTTTTTTTTGTGAGCGCAATTTAATTTGGTAAAAAAAGGAATGGCGAGCACGAGCAGTGACAACAGGCAGAGAAAAAAATCGTTTATTATTCGAAGGCAAGCCCGCGAAATGGCGAAACACGTTCTTTCGATGTGTGAAGAAGAAAAAAGATCTAACCATTTCACGTTTACTGTTAATCAGGCACTTGATCGAGCAGTATATTACACAGGTCTGTCTAAAAGTGTGTTAAGTAAAATCAAGAAAGAGCCTACAGACCAGCAAGGACATTTGAAATCGCCATCTAAAAAAGGGAAGAAGTATCCGAGAGTCAAAGATTTAAATGTTGATGATTTTGATCGTCAAGTAATTCATCGTTGCATTGAAGAGTTTTATTTGACCAAAAAGGTCGTCCCAACTTGCAAAAAACTTTTGTTGGCTTTACGGGAGAAAATTGATTTTCCTTGGGGTGTAACTAGCCTGAGAAAGTTGTTGAAACAAATGGGGTATAAGTGGCAGAAATGTCATAGCAAAAGGAGAATTTTGATAGAGAGGCCAAATATTATATATGCTCGATCTATTTATTTAAGAAAAATACGTCAATTTAGACAAAATGATCGCCAAATATTTTTCTTAGACGAAACATGGATTGATAACAATTTAACGTATAAAAAATGTTGGCGAGACGATAAAATAAACGCAATATTGACTGATACGAGCTCTTCGAACAGATTGATTTTAGTCCATGCGGGATCGAGAAGCGGCTTTTTAGACGGAGCCAAACTGCTTTTTAAAGCTGGCACAGTCACCGGCGACTATCATGGGCAGATGAATAATGTAAACTTTGAAAAATGGGCTAACGAAATGTTATTACCGAACCTCCCTTCAAACAGCGTTGTAGTGATGGACAATGCCCCCTATCATAGCGTGCAAGAAAATAAGGTGCCCACAAAATCTAGTACAAAACAAGTTATGTTAGATTGGCTAACCAAAAATAAAGTACAGGCCAGTTTCAGTATGAGGAAAGTTGAATTATATGATTTAATTCAGCAAAACAGGACTCCAGAAAAAACATTTAAAATGGACGAACTCATAAAAGGCCATGGTCACGATGTACTGCGATTACCGCCTTATATGTGCGACTTGAACCCAATAGAGCTCGCATGGGCAAAAGTTAAAAGGCTCGTGAGGGAACATAACATTACTTCTGATTTTTCTCTGGTGAGACTGAAGGAGGTTACCGAAAATGCTATCACGCAAGTCACAACAGCAGATTGGTGTGGATATGATAAACATGTCTTAGCATTAGAGGAACATTACTGGAAAAAGGATGGCTTAATGGAGGATGTTGTCGACTCATTTATTATTGAAGTACGTGAGGAGAGTGACGATAGTACATCAAATTCTTCAAGTACTGATAATTCTGATTTCGACAGTGATTAATTGGATTTTACGTTCTATTTGTTCATTAAGTATCAGTTCATTAAATTAAATACATACGTGATACAATTGTTTTATTTTATTTCAAATACATATTACCCTCATAGAATTATTTCTTAATTTACACTCGCGCGGAGACTTAAGATGTGTTAGTATCGATAGCACAATATCGACTAATTCACAACTCTAGCTCATTACGTCAACATTCCTTAACATTCCTCGGAGCTCGCGCGCGGACTGTAGTTGTGCGGCTTCTGTAAGTGTTGCGCACATTTTTAAATTTGTTGCGCTTATAGTTTTTTTAATTATTTCACAAAAACATTTCCTGCTGGGGTAACGTTACCCCAGCCAAAGATGTAGCAAAAATTAAAAACGTTACCCCAGCAAAATCTCGAATAACTTCGCAACCGATGAAAGAACAAATACAAAACAAGGTACAACATTTACTTCATCTAGACAACTAATTTTATAGCTAGTAATTATTTAAATATTCCCATTAGAAAGAAAAAGGGCTGGCTGGGGTAACGTTACCCCAGCAGCAAATGTTATTGTCGAATAATTAAAAAACTATAACCGCAACAAATTTAAAAACGTGCGCAACAATTACAGTAGCCGCACAACTAATTATCTATAAGATTCAAATGATCATTTTTGACAACATCTGGCCTGGGTAACGCACACCTGTTTATTGCTATAATACTAACCTAACCTAAAACGTCTGTTGTCGGTAACTTAGTGGTTAGGTCATCCAAGAGTTCTATGAGTTTGTATTTATAAAGTCAATTTTATTCGTTCACAGATCTATTCTACACGCGAGTAGCACCATCAAAGACGTTCGATCTCCTGAAGGATGACTTCGACTACTACCTGATCACCATAGTCCTGGCGGCGCTCATTGTCGCCACATACAGCACCAAATACTTCGCCTCGCGGAAAATGCTCAAGCTAGCGTGGAAGTGATGCAAGTATAGTCTCTAGGGTACTGTAATAAGGAATTTGGACTGTGCCCCCACGGAAATAAAGTTCAGATCTATTAAACAGGTACGCTACGAAAAGTATTTGCCTACCGCCTAAATAAGGCAAGTAATTAGTTTATGATACTGATTCGCAAGTTAGCATTAAAGTAGAAGGTAATTTAAAGTGTTCTAGAATGAAGTAATGCTAAATATCAAAGATTGATACAAGTAATATAATGAATAACTAACAATAAGATGTTAAAATTATTATTATTATAAAATATTTATTGTCAAATTCTAGATAGTGTTACTTGCTTTTCTATCTCTGCGATTTTGTACATTAGAGTTTATAATTCATATCAACTTGAATGCTGTCTGTCTCGAAAATTGTGCCATTGTACTTTTCAATTCATTTTCACCTATTTTCATGGCACTGATAACTTTTGTAAAATTGTAACCCACTGCCATATTTTCCGACGCAGTCCAAATTCCTATATTTTAATGGACTTTAACAAATAAACAATATAATAGTTTCGTGATCGTGCATAGTGAGTGTTCACATTTAGTAAATGGACACACCGTCATATACTTTAAAGCTTTAGGCTCCGTTGTACAAAGTATAATGAAATATGTAGACAATGAACCTTTACTTAGGATATGGGATGCAATACGGCCTTTACAAGACTCTGAGTATACTCGTAGCAAGATTAATTTCACATGGCTACACAAGACCAGTGTAAGTACGGAAAGGTCATATAATTTGACACCATGATAATTTGGTTTTGTATAGTTCGTTACGCGGCCGTGTGTAGTAACATCGTCAACGCTAGTAAAGTATCAGCATTTGTATGAAACAATAAAATTGTAAGGAAACTGTAAATATTGTTACACTTTTACAACGGCGCGTATAACCAGCATATCTAAAGAGAATTCTGATGTTTTTGAATCAATTCAGTGATCAAAGTTGTTCAAATAAATACCGGTCTATATAGTTTAAGTTGACCCCTCTATTTCATATACGAAGCTTCGAATTGTATGTCTAATGGTTATAAGATTAATCTCCTAAGCTACGATAAAGGATCATGTTAAACTGTATAGACTTTCTATTGTAAAATTAGCTAGTGCAATTTAGATGTATTATTTATTTATTAAGGGTGGTTTGTATTATACGATTCATTTTAATTATATTTAAACCATTCCACGATTTGTCACCTTATAATATATCAATTTTAACGTCATTCTATTGTATATTAAAGATATAATTATTTTTTCCTATTTAAATCTATTCTAAAGTCGACTTAAGGTGACTGAGATGTGTGTAATCTTATTGAACATAGCATTTAATGTAATTATGTATCTTATTCAATGTCCGAGCATTTGTTCCTACAGTTTATTAAGTTTTCTTATCTATTGAGACAGAGGAAAACTGCGCAAGAAATAGTTACTGTTTGTGTTTGGTGCAATTTCCACAGATTGTATAATAGTACATTGTATAATCTCAGTTAATTTTAAGTTCCATTCATACTTTAAAAGTAGAAAGTATTAGCTCACGTCACATTACATACTTTCGGCTACTCGATCGAGTAGAACTACTTAATTATGTACTTCAATGCATAATTTTAAAAGCAGTTTATTGCTTACTGTTTTATATATTTGTCTCTGGTAGTCATATTTATCGAGACAACGAGCAGTTTCTAGATGTTAGAGTTATAATACACAGATATGTTTTATCTGTTCTCAGTTTAGAACTGTGTTGTTCTAACCACAATAAACAAAATGTAAAAAATATTCCTACACGTAATTCCTGACCTATCTAATAGAAGAATGTTTCATAGACACATTGTTGCTTATATTTTTTCGTGAATTTTATCCGTACTCTTAGTTATACCTCTAATTTCTTGACCGCGCTTTCAATTTTAACAATATTTTATTTTAAAATGATGATATATGTTAATGTAAGCGAGGATTTTTTGTTTAAAAGTATTTGCTCACGCAGAGTTGTTAATTAGCAGTTAAGGGTAAAGTTTACCGTGTCTTATTTGTTTATTATGATGTTTCTTTGTTATACATTTTGTTGCAATGGTGGCTTCATAGTTCAGAGATAGAACATTGCAACCACACTCATAGCTAGCGCTCATGCGAGCGACATAATTCTATGATTTGTAAAGACATGTGAACAGATTTATAATACAAAACAAAACAACAGTTTTTTTATGACAAGAAAGTGTAAATAAATACTTACTTATATCTAAATAAAATTGAAATTAGAACCTTCTTGTTTCTCACACAAATATATAAGGTTTTCTGTATCTCTTGTGTACTAAGTAGTTATTAATAAAATATTACTTATTATACATTAACACAGTTCAGTTATTCAAATGTACCTTATTTATTCCTTTAGTTTATCGGAATGTTACCATTTCATTGTTTAATTTTAGCAGTTTGGATAGTAATATTTATAGACAGTGTGATGTGATTTATGTTATTGTACTACTCACTGCCTAAGCTGCTTTTGAAAATCGATATGAATTTTGGCTAGCATATGAAAGTTTAGTAAATATCTGTTGAATTTAATGTCGAAGTGATGCATTTACATTTCATGTAAAACTTGTATGGGGTAACGCATTGACGGTTCTGGGTTGTGGTATCTATTGTATCAATAGTAAATATGATTTTAAATACTTATGTGTCAGCAATAGGTCAGTTGATAATCGAAACAAACAAAATATACCATTTAGTGGATAGGTCACATTGTGTTCAACACAACAAAACTCTGTGAGGTGTTTTTGACCAGGACATTTCAACATACACTTTTTCAAAAAATCGTGAGTGGTATGAAGTCTCTGATTACAGTGGCTTCGAATAGACTGAGATAAAGATGTGAGAGTGGTTGCAATACATAAGTAAATATTATATAATATACTGTAATAAAAAATGGGTATTTGTTTTCTGTGACCAATGTGTTTTGTAAAAAATAAAGTTGAAGTAATTACTGCCAGTTTGCGTTTCATTTTTTCCAACTTCACATTTTAAACGCAAGCAAGTAACTTCAAAGAAGTACAATGTGTTAAGTAGGTAGGTAGTGTTATAAAACTATAAAAAATGACTCCTTTCGTCTTTGTTGAGATAAGAGGGATTTTCAGACTAACAATTACTCCATTCCAACTTGCTCCAAGCCGGGCTGCAGTAGGGTAAATGTTTAAATAATTCTTAAAAAACAGGTTCATTGATAACAATGACCTCAGACAAATTAAAGCGTCACAGCGCAAAAGGCTGGAGCTCAGCCGGCTCGGCACAAGTTACCGCAAAGTTGTACGACACATCAAGATTTCTTTTTCCCCGACCTTGTCAGTGATTTTAAAAATGAACGCACTTGTTCTAATGTCATTCCAATTCCAAGCCTATCCATTCCATCTATCTCAATAAGGAAATGTTTCTTTATATTTATAAGGGGTACGAAAATTCCGTAATTTTTTCGGTAGGACTTGTAGTTTTTGAGATACCGAAGGATTTTCAAAAAGCCCAGCTCTTAGGTCTCAATCATAGCGCTACTCGTACCTCGAACGTTCTCGAAAATGGTCATTTGAATCTTATAGATAATTAGTTGTGCGATTCTGTAAGTGTTGCGCACATTTTAAAATTTGTTGCGCTTATAGTTTTTTAATTATTTCACAAAAACATTTCCTGCTGGGGTAACGTTACCCCAGCCAAACTATTTTCTTTCTAATGGGAATATTTAAATAATTACTAGCTACAAAATTAGTTGTTTAGATGAAGTAAATGTTGTGCCTTATTTTGTATTTGTTCTTTCATCGGTTGCGAAGTTATTCGAGATTCTCCGGGGTAACGTTTTTGGTTTTGTTGGATTTTTGAAATGGTTAAGCGGATTCTTATCATATTTTGTACATGGCTTCTTAGTAATTAGTTTAAATTTATTTTGCAATAAAAAAAACTGAAATAATACATAGCTTAAAGGATATTTCATGAAATAGAAAAACACTTCAATTAGTCCCAGCACTCTCAATAAATAAGAGCTCTAAAGACTTACTTTAAACGTTATTTTAAAGCTTGTAAGTGCCTTCAAATTTAAGTGAAGTTTCATTAGTATCCTGTAAGTGTTTAACAAGTTATGATGATATTGAGTTCTTCACGCGCACGGTCTTGATGCGCGCGGTGTTATTTGGCCACTGGATTGGATATATGAACTGAATGTTATGTCAATTATTGGTTTTTTTAGTTTAGACGCGAAAACGCAACAAATGCCAGATGTCAATTTTCGACATTTGGCCTGGGCCTGGGGCACGCACACCTTGTTCTAATGTCATTCCTCTATCCCTCAATAAGGAAATATTTCTTTATATATATAGGGGGTACGAAAATGTGGTTAAATTTTTGCTAGGACTAGATTCGTGTCGTTTTCAGATGTGACCTTCGATATCAGAATATTTTGTAAATGAGCCTAATTCTCACTATCACTACTACTTAATACTATCCCCTAATCAGGATATTACGTCGCGGAGAACCTAACGGGTAACCAGGGCTTCGGCACCTGACGCCTTCAAAGGGGAGTATGTCTATCTTTGATGTTTATATTGGGGGGTAAGAAAATTCGGTTAATTTTTGTCTAGGCTAGGACAAGGGGGCTTACTTCTGAATCCAATTCCGATCGATCGACATTGGTATTGTGAAATTTCGTACTCTCGGGTTGCAACACTAGCGCCCATTGCATCCGTATTGCGTGGATATTGAATGAACTAAATGGTATTAAGTTTGGCTTTATATTCCGTACTCTGAATGCTATTGTAACACCTACGATTGTGGTTGTATAGTGTTGACATTGAATAATTATTGACATTTTATTGGATTGAAATTGCTTTGACATTGAGATTGGTTTCAAAAGTAAGTACCCTGTAGTTTAGGAAATATTACAAGATTTCTATATTTCAAGAGATTCAGTTTAAGTTGCCTTGGAAAATTATGAGTAATCAAAATATTAATCAGTGTGCCGTACTGGGGTCGCAGGCAAAAGCCTATTTACTAAATAAATAAATATATTAGGCAATCTTCATGATTTGTAGGTCACCGTTTGGGTTTTGATTTTTCGACGTATAAAATAAAACTCGGCCATAAGATACTATTACAAAATGATTTATTCTTTATTACAAATTACGATTCCTTTTTTTCAAAAATTAACTTAATATTACTTTGATAATCCTTATCCGTAGCGATGTAAGGGGAGCCTACTATGTTGAATAAATGTACGTACTCCCGCGTGGGCGGTTCTAGCAGTTGGGTGTTGTTGCACAGAGTTCTCAGATGGTACCAGGTTGCGCCGTGGTTGTAATCTAGCAGTCTTTTGAAGAACTCCACCGCTAATGCCTGGAAAAATAATTAAAGTTAGAATTTTACTAAATATAGTCACGTCATTAATCAGAATACATAGTTGCCGTTTAGCTAGCAGTCGGTTTTACGATCTCAATGAGTTTTATATTCTATCGCCATGCTCACCTGTAGCGCCTTAGGTTGTTTTTTAGATAAGTACGGCTGCACACACGTCATGGCATTCTCCAAGGACTCGTCTTCCAGCATGAGATCAGTCGTAAGGTGTGGTAGAGCGCCCAACGCAGTGAGTTGTAGATTGTACGCCTGACTGTTGCGGTAGGCAGAGCCTATGTCTTTTAGGTAACTTTCCTTTGATGATTTATCCAAAAAACTGTATATGTGCGGTAGGACGTCCCTAGAACAAAACAACTGTCTTTAGTAACTATAAAATTATGAGTTCTAATAATGTGATGATATATTGATCTTTTGTATTCATACGATTGTACGATAGTACTGACATGACCTGGGACATAGAAAAGTTTCTAAGTGATAAAGAAATAAAAAAGGCAAAATCTATTGAGGACGTAAAAAGGCAAATGTATAATTTTCGCATAAATAAAATAGGAACTATATAATCTCACCTGATAGCTCGACCCCTAATAAAATCACGGGCTAACGCAGCCATAGTAACAAGCAAATCAAATGCCCTCTTCATGATCGCAGGTTCTTTATCAAATCTGGAAACTAGCGGGCCCCAGGATTTATGCACTAGAGGTAGGAGCTCGTCATCATACTTCCTCAATATTGGTAGGCCACGAGTTAGGACTTGTAACGCCAGTATTGAGTTGTCACGCTGGGATGACGTCACGTAGTTGAGGCAACGCTTGAGTATTGTGACTGTTACTGTTATGTGTTGTGGTAGAGGGGGCTTCTCTCCTGTAAAAAGGAATTGGGATTTAATGGTACATGTCAAATTTTGTATAGGTAGATAGAAAAAGTTAGAAGGTGTCAGCTCTTACCAGTAACAGTATCATCATAATCCAACATCTCTTCTTCTCTTCGCCTCATATCTTCTCTATACATCTCCTCCGCACTCCTACCAGGTCTATTCTCAAACTCCTGGTCATTGAGGGCCTGTTGTTCAATCTCTCTATTTTCTATAAAGACTAATAGATCATTCAAAATGTTTATTTCTCTGTTCTGCTCAGCTGCCTTGGGCTCGATGTCGGGTATCTCATACCACTTGCGAATACATTCGACGAATGTTAGAAAAACTTGTAAGTACGCTTGAAGATCGTTTTCGTAATATTTATCACAACTTTGGACGAGGACCTGTAAGAACAATTTTTTTTATTGAAAAGATTTTCCTCTTTAATTGAGATTATTTGATTTTTTACAATAGAAATACTCACGTCTTCAACAATACCATAGAGATAGTTCAGTATACTGGAGTCGCTGTATTCCATTACAACTGACAGTATTTGTAAAGCTGATTGACAGTTCCAAGCCTGGAAAAAATTCTTATATCACTTACAAAAACAGACTATTTTAATTTCATTAAATTTTGGTATATAGAAAACTGACTTTCGCCATATAACTATTTATTAAAGTATGCCGACAAAAATCAATTAAGAGAATCCTCTATCATGGCTTATATTATGTTGCCCTCAACGGCGTTCAACATTTTAAACTATTCAATGCTTACCTTCTTTAGCCTAACAGTGACCTGGTTAGTGAAGTAATCAGCATTGTGTTTGATAAGTTCTGCCACGGTCGAATGGCCGCATGCTTCCGCAATACCGTGTATTGCCTTCAGTCCAGCTAGATGCAGCATCTCATACTTACTGCCTGTAAATATGAAGGATACTGTAGTGAAATCTCTCAAAAGTCACTTCACATAAAATATCAGTTTTCTAAAATACTCATGAATAAACGTCCCAGTGTGACTCGAAACTAGTCGAGCTTTTCTCGAAAATTTCACATAAATTAAATTTTCATCAATTTGGTATCTTCTTGATTATACTTGTGTTACGTACCAACTCTCTCGAGTACCAAGCACAAGGTCTTCAATAAGAACGGTTGGTATTTGTGCATGAGACGTCGTGCAATCACGCCGACACCCTCGGTGAGTAGGCAGGACAGTAACATGTTACGTTGTGCGTCGCCCAGTGTGGCGCATTTGTTGGGGTCTGTGTAAGGCTTGGGACGCGCCGCGCGGTAACTAATGTCTGTGTAACGAGTTTCTATTGCGCCTTCGTATAAATCTAAGAGAAAGAAAGTGTGATATGAATATACTGAATGTTATGTATGGTCAATAAAAAGTAACTGGATCTAAAACAAATTGGATACTTATTTTATTTGTCCATTATTATCATCAAGGCAAGGTTTTTTATAACAAACAAATGCACTGTCAACGACTCTAAATATCAAGTCCTTATGAACGTCAAAAATAATATCAAAACGATGTCAATATACGTACCAGGCACATAATCCTTGTCCCAAGACCTCGGGTTGTACACGCTGACATCCAGCGTGTCCTCCGCGTTGAGTGCGGGCTCCGATGTACCCACCTCGAGTGGTAAGTACCAAACATCTTCCTCTATGTACGTATTTAGAATACGCTTTACGAAATCCTCTGATGAATTTGGTGCTATGAAGGTGAAAGATTTGTCATTTAAGGTTGTTCTATAAAACTTGAAATTGGAAGATATTTCACTGTAGAATTAAGACTGTCCATTTATGAGAGGTGGGAGGGAGATTTTGCCACAATCTCCACACTAGATAGACAGCTTAGAGTAATTGCAGAAAGGTGTAGTTACTTTAATGCCAATGAAAATTTAGAGAAAATTGACTGCCTCATTGGCCGAGTGGTCGCAAGTGCGACTGCCGGGCAAGGGGTCTCGGGTTCGATTCCCGGGTCGGGCAAAGTATTACCGGGTTTTTAAAAATCTTAGTAGTAGCACGGAGTCTGGAAAAATGTGCCCGGTATATGGCAATAGGCTCACCCCCTATTACATGGGACTCATAACATAAATAGTGAAAAGTGGGTGTTACATTGTACAGTGGCATTGAGTGCCGAAATGTGCACCTCTACCTACCCCTTCGGGGATAAAAAGGCGTGATGTTATGTTTATGTTATGTTATGTTATGAAAATTTAGAGGATGCTACTGCTAGTGTCTCAGTGACCAGACGCAATGTTTAGGACAGAAGAATTCTAACAGACAAATCAAACTTCTCATTATAGTGCAATATTTATTGGTTGTCATCTTACCTGCAGCCATCCAGTTACAAATATACACGACCTCCGCACTCCTGTCCAACTCAAACAGCTCGAACAGTTGGTCTAATAGCAGAGAGGCACATTCTGCCTCGCCTAGCAAGCTCAGGATCTCCTGCACTCGACGCTCGCATAGTTCGTCGTCTAAATGTCTTAGTTTGCACCACGGGGAACCCATCGGAGGTGGTGAGATTACATCTACAAGGAATGTAAGTTGTGTAGTTGATAATAAAGCTTATTGTATAAGAATAAAGTTGTATTTAAATAACATCTCATTAGGGAGATACTAAGGTCTAGTGTAGCACTCTATAACAACGTGTTTATAGTACTAGACGCATTAATATGATAGAATCTAATTTAAGATAGAATTATTTATGAATCGCAGTAGGTGGCTCTGTAGTTTCTACCTTCCTTGACGAGATAAAAGATTCAGCAGCAATCTTAATTTACACCTACTTGAATTTGATCACGTCAGAACTTTAAATGTAAAGTTGTGAGGTGAACTTTAAACAAATTGTGATAATATATTTTATATAAGCATACTTTTGAATAAATCTAAAATTTGAAAGTATGAAATCAGATAAACTCAATAGAAAGTGTGGGAGAGCCATGCTTTGGCACGAATGGGCCGGCTCGACCGGAGTGATACCACGGCCTCACAGAAAACCGACGTGAAATAACTCTTGCGTTGTGTTTCGTCGTGTGAGTGAGGTTACCGGAGGCCCAATTACCTTCCCCTTCCCCAATCTCCCCAATCCCTGAATCCCCAACGATCCTCAAACTCCTAATCCCCAAAAAGCCGGTGACGCACTTGTAACGCCTCTGGTGTTCCAGGTGTCCATGGGCGACGCCGATTCCTTACCATCAGGTGATCCGTCTGCTCGTTTACCGGCTTATGCCATAAAATGAAAGAAAGCAAGTATGTATACCTCTAACAGCATGTTGAGTGAGCATGGTAAGGTCAGCATGTATGGCGACGCACTGCAGTAGCGCGACGCAGACAGCCTGCACGTTGTCGCGCGCACTCAGCGCCGCCGTCAGGCGCTGGCCCGGGCCCGCGCCCAGCGCACTCACGTACCCGTGCACTAGGTTCAAACTAGATAGCTTGCGACTTGAATCTGAATACGAAAAACAAATCCTACTAAATCATGTAACCAAGAACTAGACTGTCAAACTGATTGAAAAGGTGTTACCATGGAGATTCTTGCTCGTTCTTCTCCATTGAAATTTATACTTTGGAATGAGTATAAATAATTATATCTCTAGAGACTGTAACTTTTTATCTTTAAGTCTTTAGTTAGACGTTCAAAAGTGTCGTACCCCTGCCCACCGCTTTACTACTTCGGGGATTAAAATGCGTGATCCGTGATGAATGCAGTGTAATGTTTGTATTCATTTAGAGCGCGATGTTACTGCCCAGGAAACATCGAGAATGTTATGCATTCATATTCATTAAGGCATTCATTGTGACGCGAGAGCTGTTGGAATTTGCATGTGAATAATACAGCAATGAACACTTCAGAATCTCTATAAATGTAACTATATTACCAAAAGATTTGTATGTAAAAACTTCGAAACGACTGCATCAAGTTGGATTTGCTTTTTCAATGCATAAGGCTCCTACTACAGTACAGAACTACAGACATTCATTACAATATCCTTATAAGATATTATAAGGAGATTACAACCTTCAACTTAATGTAAAAAATACATAATATATTAGGAACACCATACATATTTACTACGTACTTGTTACTGTTGTATACTCACCAATATTATTCATAACCCTGGGCAGGCTATTGATGGCAGTAAAGAAGTTCTTGCAGAGCGAGTCTAGCGTCTTAGATCGCGTTTCTTCTGAAGCATTTTCGAAATATGCAGAGAGGGCGCTGCTGCAGTATTCTGCCACCTCGGGGTACTCGTCTTTGGCCAACAGTATGAGTGTGTCCAGGGCTAAGGGAATTGATGTTACCATTGCACTGAAAACAAAGTTATATTTAGATTGTGTTTTTTTATCTATCTATTATAACAGCCTGAACGATTTTTATGACAATGGGTTTTGTTAATCGTATTCTATCATGGTTTTTTTTTGTTCGTTCTTAAAAAAGTACGAAACGACGCGCCGGTTTGAAACTAAGTTTATCTTTGTCGTGTTCATTATATTCAAGATCTTGAAGTTTTACATAAAAGAAATGACAAATTCATCGGGTAAGCCTCACTCGCGCTTATTTGTTCGATAATAGTTAAAAATAATATAAAAACCTACACGTCACATTCAACCAGCATCCTGGCGAAGTAAATAGCGAGTTCCTTCCTCACTTTGAAGTGTTCATGTGTTCTCAGCGCCACTATATGCTGGTTGATGATCAACACTTTCTGACTGGCCACTTTAAACCATTCTGCACTTCGTACCGGCAAGGTTTTTGGATCCACTGGTAAAAAGAATCAAAATTTAAATAAAGAAGTATGAATGTATACAGGGTTAAGTAAAAACATTGAATAATGTTTTACAAATATCCCTGTATAATGTGTTTGGTGTATAAAAAGAGGTTTTGTTGCCAAAACCGTGAAGAATTTTGTAAATAAAAATAATTTCATTGGAAGTGGTAGGTGCTACTTGACATTCTGCTTAGAAAATCAGGGGCACAGATGTTTTAAATTGAATTATAATAGTGTCTTTGCATCATCTACAACAAGCTAGTCATAGATGCTTCTTGTATTCTTTTGGTGACTACTTTTTGTAATCACTTATTTTAATGTTAAATATGTTCAAATAAATCATTTTATAATTACAACCACTTTCCAAATTAAAACCAATAAAAAATCATAATCGAACATAATAAAACACCCAATTCAAGTTATAGTTGATTTTACAAATTATTATTATTCTCTATAATTACTAATTACCCTTATTGCTTACTTCTTTGTCTCCTTTCTGTCGGTACACTTTCATAAAGTCTTCGGCAGTCGGCTCAGTGGCATGGTTCATGTATTTATTGTTCATAGCCAGACATAATATTCGATGCATCGCGTCTATCGCTGTCTAAAATACAAAAAAAAACAGCAAAGTTAATACCAAGAAATGTAGTATAAAAATTACAAGTTAATAAATGATTGGGGATATTATGAACAATTTAATTTTATCATGAATTTATCAAGGGCCAAAGCAGTGGAAAAATATAATATAACACAACAATTTTAAAAGGCGAATAAATTAATACATGGTCTAAAAAATACACATATTAAAATTTCAACAAATACAATAAACACAATACTTAATAGGTAGATAGGTAACAATTACAAAGGAAAATGTTGGTAAGACAATTATGTATTGCGTTGCCATCGAAGAACGTTGATTATGTTCATCTTACTAACCTCTTCGTATTTTACTATTTTATAATAAAACACGAAAAGGGCAGCACGGAGAACGGTCCTGAAAAGTACATACACAACATGGGCATTTTGAAATAACATAATTTTGAAAATACAAAAATGAGAGCACGATGAATGTCCTTCAAAATACATAGGTATCGGGAACATTTTGTAAAAATAATATGTACTCTGAAAATAAATGTTGATCATAATATTGTGTTATAGGATATCGATGACCGATGACAGATTTCTACTTACTGGTCTCTTCGTATTTTATTAGGTTATAATAAAACACGAAAAGGGCAGCACGCAGAATGTTCCTGAAAATACAAACAATAAAAATAAAAGATTACTTAGGTAAATACGCAGTAAAAAAAAATTTGTTCTGTACGGTGGTCCTCGACGAATGGTGCCTGTATTCTACTTACTAGCCTCTTCGTATTTTATTTTTTAATAATAAAACACGAAAAGGGCAGCACGAAGAATGGTTCTGAAAATACAAAAATAAAAAATACCAAAGACTTTTTGTGTAAATACACAGCAAAAATTTAGATTGTTCTATGCGGTGGTGGTCGACGAACGGTGACTGTATTCAACTCACTGGCCTCTTCGTATTTTATTGGGTAATAATAAAACACGAAAAGGGCAGCACGAAGAATGTCCCTGAAAATACATACAATGAATTACACAATAAATTGTTGTTTTTATTGAGTCACAATTTTGGACCTCGACGAATGTTGACGGTATTCAACTTACTGACCTCTTCGTATTTTATTATTTTTTAATAAAACACGAAAAGGGCAGCACGGAGAATACACCTGAAAATACATAGAATAAATTATATTATTTTTATTTGGGGTCAAAGTTGTAGACCTCCAGGAATGATGACTGTATTCTACTTACCGGCCTCTTCGTATTTTATTATTTTTTAATAAAACACGAAAAGGGCAGCACGTAGGATACACCTGAAAATACATAGAACGATTTTTTTTTACTTGGGTCAGAATTGCAGCCCTCGACGAATGATGACTGTATTCTACTTACTGGCCTCTTCGTATTTTATTATTTTTTAATAAAACACGAAAAGGGCTGTACGAAGAACGTTACTAGAAATACATATGTACATAAAAAAAATATTTTGATGTTGCTATGTGTGGTGGACGTTGACGAATGATGACTGTATTCAACTTACTGACCTCTTCGTATTTTATTATTTTTTAATAAAACACGAAAAGGGCAGCACGAAGGATACACCTGAAAATACATAGAATGAATTACTTTTTAATTTTATTGGGTCGCAATCGTGGACCTTGCCGAATGATGACTGTATTCTAATTACTGGCCTCTTCGTATTTTATTGGGTAATAATAAAACACGAAAAGGGCAGCACGAAGAATGTCCCTGAAAATACATACAATGAATTACACAATAAATTAAATTTTATTGAGTCACAATTGTAGACTTCGAAGAATGATGACTGTATTCAACTTACTATCCTCTTCGTACTTTATTATTTTTTAATAAAACACGAAAAGGGCAGCACGGAGAATACACCTAAAAATACATAGAATAAATTACACACGAATGAGACCCTAGTAAAAAAATAGACATCAACGAATGATGACTGTTTTAAATTTACTGGCCTCTTCGTATTTTATTAGGTAATAATAAAATACGATAAGGGCAGCACGAGGAATATCACTGAAAATACATAAACTGGTATTATGAGTCACACAATAAATCAAAATAATTTCATTAAATAAAATATTGTATCATATAGTTGTAAATGTCGACGAAAGGTGACTGTATTCAACTTACTGTCCTTTTCGTATTTTATTTTTTAATAAAACACGAAAAGGGCAGCACGTAGAATGTTCCTGGAAATACAAAAATTAATAATAATAAAGAAAAATAAAGGACTTATTAGGAGAACACGCAGCAAAAATACATTTTAATGTTGTTTTGTGTGGCGGACCTCGACGAATGATGACTGTATTCAACTTACTGGCCTCTTCGTATTTTATTATTTTTTAATAAAACACGAAAAGGGCAGTACGATGAATGTTCCTGAAAATACATAAATAAAAATACATGTTAATGTTTCTCTATGTGGTGGACTTCGACAAATGATGACTGTATTCAACTTACCGGCCTCTTCGTATTTTATTATTTTTTAATAAAACACGAAAAGGGCAGTACGATGAATGTTCCTGGAAATACATAAATAAAAATACATGTTAATGTTTCTCTGTGTGGTAGACTTCGACGAATGATGACTATATTCAACTTACCGGCCTCTTCGTATTTTATTATTTTTTAATAAAACACGAAAAGGGCAGTACGATGAATGTTCCTGGAAATACATAAATAAAAATATATGTTAATGTTTCTCTGTGTGGTGGACGTTGACGAATGATGACTGTATTCAACTTACTGGCCTCTTCGTATTTTATTATTTTTTAATAAAACACGAAAAGGGCAGAACGATGAATATTCCTAGAAATACATAAGTAAAAAATACATTTTGATGTTGCTATGTGATGACAGTATTAATGTTGCTGGTCTTTTCGTATTTTATTAGGTAATAATAAAACACGAAAAGGGCAGCACGAAAAATATTTCTGAAAATACATAGATTATCATTTATCATGGAGGAAATTATTTTTACTAACACTGGCTTGCTGTGTAGACTTTGAAGAACGATGACTGTATTCAACTTACTAACCTCTTCGTATTTTATTATTTTTTAATAAAACACGAAAAGGGCAGTACGATGAATATCCCTGAAAATAGATATGTATCGAGAAAATTTGTGAAAATAATACTTTAAAAATAGACATACAAAATAGACAACGCAATATGTTTATATCGATGACCGATGACTGTATTGTATTGTATTGATTTATTATTTTTTAATAAAACACGAAAAGTGCAGCTCGAAGAATGTCCCTGAAAAGTACACAACAAAAGGAAATTTTGATAATTTTATTTTTAAAAAGGTGAACCGCAACGTTTCTTGCTGACCTCGACGAACGACGACTGTATTCTTTTTACTGGCCTCTTCGTGTTTTATTTATTTTTAATAAAACACGAAAAGGGCAGCACTAAGAAATTTCCCGAATATTCTTAACAGCTGCCTTGATGTCTCACATTCAAGTCACATTCTTCTCATCTAGATAAAAGAAACAAAATAATAGAAAAATTAAGTAATAAAAATGATCTTACCACAATTAATGCATGTCCAGGATTATCTTTACAAGTGGCGACATCTTGCAGCGCTCCCATGACTCCAGGGAGGATGAGAGACAACATGTCTACCACCAGCTTCTCTTGAAGAGGGTCTGTGATATGGTAGTCAGTGGTCAGCTTCGGATGAGTCGCTGTATGTGCGGTTACGCATTGTATTGCAGCTAATCTGAAAGTTATGGGGTGTTTTACTACATGTCCGCAAAAGAACAGCGAAAGAATATAAAAAATCCGAAAAGACCACAATATCGAGTGGACTGCAAAGGGAAAAATTGTGAGTAATTTCTATTAAAATAGGTAAGCATTTTTCACGTTAACGTACCCTTAATTCGAAGACACAAGAGTACACTAATAAGGTCTTATCTATACAATCTGCCTGCTCTTCCCCAATACTTCATAATCAAACTCACCTGAGTGCCCTAAGCCTCTCCAACTTGGCAAGATGCACAGACACGTAGACAGCCTTGCCTAGCAATGGTACATGGGCCTTCAACATCACCTCCCTATACTTGGGATCCACATTCAACAGCAAAACCGTCAGACAAGTCATCACACTGCATTTCAGTTCTTCAGGGACGTCTGCTACTAAAGTCACAGAGTATTAAGAATCTAATTAAATTAAAGGAAAAAAAGCCAAACAAAATCACAGCAAATAAAAAATAAATACCTACATTATTAAAAAATTTCGGAAAAATAAAATAAAAAAATTAAAAATAATCTGGATCCAAAGTCAGTTCTCAGAAAAAATGTTTATCTGTCCAGGGTATTAAATTGCTATTTCTTTGCAGCACATTTCCACACTTCCATGACAAATACATACATAAAATGGCAATAACCAAGAAATTATAATAGGAGAATATTATAAATATTGATAGTTAGATAAAGCTTGCAATAATCAATAACATATTATTGATAATTATGTTTAAGTGATCCGTTAACCCAAGTTGACTTGACAGATGGGTGCGGAGATAATTTTGTGCTGTTATTCATTCAACCTCGGGTCATTGAAACTGCAATGTTGCTGAGGAACTCACTACTTGTACAGATTGGTGCACAATTGAGGTCAATTAAGCTTGCTGAAGGGGGCAGGGACTGAATATCAGCCACATCCCAATAAAAGTATGAAACTAAACTAAGTTAGGTACCTCTATGATTAGTTATCTACTAATTTTATCTATGAAATTTTAATACTAGAAAATCTGTTCATTTAAAACAAGAATACTAAATCAAATTAATGAGTCGCTATCCCCAAAGATGTCTTCTTCAATAAACATATCCAACAAAAATCAATAATACGGACAATATAAATGTTCATATGTAAATGTAGCTTGAATTCGAAGATATTTGAACTTACTAATTATCTAAATAAATATTTCATTATTTTTTCTATTTTTTTTATAAGCATATGCATTAAGTATCTAGTAAAATGTCTGATATGATTCCTCATGACTTAACTACTATTATAAATGAACAACCTTATGAGTACAACAGTGCAGTATTAACTACAAAAATACTTTACATGTTCACATCACTTTTTGGAATAAATAAAACTATTAATTGAAAGCTCCAGAATGATGCCGATCCTATAAAAAAGTCATTGACATGCTGTCTATGTTTCTCAGCTTATCACTAATTAACTCTTTTATGGTTGGCACAGGATGGAATCATTTAAGAAAAGGGTACTACAGAAAATATAGTTGACAAAGCCTTACCCATTCCAGGTTTAGTGTGATCAAATACAATTTGCAGCAGCCCTATTTCCATCTTCATGCACATTTCGAAACTGTTCACTGTCACCTTCTCCAACACAGTTCTCATACAATCCACCAGCTTCTGTTGGAGTTCATGTTTCTTCCTAAATAGTATGAATTGGCAAATGTATTGATTTTCTATTTAAATTAAAAAGGGTAGAAATAATGCAGCCAACACCATATTTTTTATTAGTAACAATAAGGTTTCTTAAAACTATGTTAGTTTATTTTATAGCATACATGAATCAATATCACATGGAAATTTTCTTAAAAGGTGCTCCAGAAATATTAATGTATAAGTAATGTGATGTGCTCAGCTGAATAATAAAGAATAATGTGGGGTAAATCTATTAACTCGTCGAGTACCGTATTTATAGACACAATTAAAGAACAATAGGTTGTGGTCACCGGTGACCGCTCGGTGTTTGACAGTTTAACCAGGATGTTTCCAGTGTTAAAACTAATAATTTAATTTATTCCCTTTAATAAAAAAATATTTTCCTTTATAGTCACTTCAAAGTCAAGGTCAAAGCATTTACTTCAATTAATCCATAATTAGGCACTTTTGAAACATCAAAATTGAATTGTCTGTCCATCTGTCTGTCAGTGAAGCTAGATGTGTCTACCTAACACATAAAAAATAGAAATGTGATGAATATTGACTAGTGTTTTTCTTTAACCTTTGCTCTTCTTCTGCTTTTTTACCTTAAATTTTAATTATTTTAAAAGTGAAGTCAAGGCTTTAAGTTTTCCGAGACTAGCTGCCTTTCCAATATGTTACATATAGATTTTTTTAATTCTTTGTATAAAATTTATTATTTTAAATTGTATCCAAGCTACTATCCTATCTATTCAAGAAAAATTAATCAATAATGTTAACTTACAGGGTGTGGTCATTTAATATTTCCGGAAATACATATGAAATATTTATTTATTTATCAGATTCCTATAGGAATATGATTCCTAGGAATATGATTGATATTCCTATAGAAATATGATTCCTATAGGAATATGATAATTATGATGTCTTTGCAAATAAATAATTTTGTCTTTCTTTTGTACACTTCTTGTCTTGAAGTATAGTTTTTGCATATTAATAAATGTTCATTTTCCTTATTATTTCCAATCATGATTTTAAATTTTAGAAATATATTGTATGTAAAATTTAAAGTTCTAAAAATTTTTGTGTTTTGTTTTATAACAAATATTTTATTCTACCTTACTATAATAAAGTTAGAGAGGTTGCATCGCATTATATTATTATGAGGTGTGTGTGATGCATGATAATTTCAATACCCACCACATGGCCATGGTAAAAAATGTGAAAATTACCAATTAAATTTAAATGTGAAAATTCTGTTTTATTTAATTGGCCCTAAATCATACTCCACGAGAACAAAAAAACATTCAGATTTATTAACTGTTAAAATATATTGAGTTCCCGATAACTACCCTGCTAATAAAATATAGAAGTGCTATGCCATAGTTGTTTCTTCATGGTGATGATGGTGATGAAGGTGATGATGATGATGACTTGAAGAGAAGTTTACTTACCTGTGCGAATTATTACTGAAAATTTAAAATATGATATAAAAAGGTTTCTTACTCAGTTTCAGTGGACTTCAAGTGGGTGATGAGTGGGAACAGTAGGTACTGCTGAAGCTCCTGGATCACTTCTTTCTTCAGCTCTGCAACCCGCCTCAGGTACGCAGCAATGCTATCTTCGGTCGGGCACACCATGAGAACATCGCACACTGGTTTGATGCGCGAAAACGCATCCTTCAAGTCGGCGTTCATCTTGTTCTCATAATGCAGTGTGGTGCACCGATCGATTCAACCCACCCCCTTCCTTCTTTCTTACCGGCAACTTGCAGATTGCAAATCAGGAGCGAGTTACAACTAAAGTTCGCCTTGTTATTGGTTAAATACAGCGAATCTTCAGTCGTCTGACTTGAATTATTACAAAAATCTTGCAAAAATTCTAATTTAATCTCCTACGTCCATCCTCAGACGTGACTCGCCCCTTTTTGATTGATTCCAGATTTATTGATTAATTGAAAATTGAAAAATGAGGAGGGTGAGTGAAAACTGGGAATACACTGTATGAAGTGTTTGACGTTTGAATTCGACTAAGCTGAGATAACACATCTTCATTCGAGACTATTTTGACGTTTAAATCGCCTACAGTAGAATTACACTAAAAATATCATTAATGTGTTCATATGCATTATATTAGTAATAAATAATCGTAACAATATTGAGGACGAAAAAAAAACAACAAAAGACAAAACATTAAAATGATGGTCCCTTACTGATTCGAATCGACTAAGTCTGGCTAGCTACTGAAAAGTCTATGATAGAGACAAAGACTAGATTGTACGAACGAATCCTCCAATGAAAGGCCAGGCTGAAATTACGCCAATCAAGGCATGGGTCAGGGTACCTATGTTTGAGTACTAAACTTAGAGTAGTGGCCATTTTGTTGTGGAATGTGGCCAGACAGACGCATTAATATATTTATACTTATAAGTTACAACGAAAATGATTTAATAGGCCTACCTATTCTATTGTTTATTAGACAGTAATAAATTATAGATAGGTAAAGACTGGTAAAGTTCCCATTTAATATATAATCGTTTACAATTCTTTTCGCCTATCTTAGCTGGAAATATATAGTATGATCATAAGTGTCACTAGGTATTTAGGATTCTAGGTTTAGTTCGGTCTCATTTAGGAATAATCGTAGTAGGTATGTACCATATACACAACATTAAAGTAATTGATGTTTTAATCGTAATAGATTATATAGAAAGTGGATTATGATTATCGATTACAGTTAATAATAATCAATGTGATAGATCGACCAAGCCGTCGCACAATGATAGTTGATAGAACAATTCTATATGACGAGAATCTTGTGAAAGCTGAAAAAGATAAAGCAAGTAAATATCGTGATTTAGCTTATGAGATTGTCGACATTTGGGATGTGGATTCAGCAGTCATTGTGCCGATAGTCGTATCGGCCAATGGCCTCAATGCTAAAAGTCTCGACCAACATCTGAGTAGGCTAGCGTTAGATGGTTGGGTCAAGGGCCTGATGCAGAAAGCAGTACTTCTGGACACGGCACGTATTGTCCGGAAATTCCTTTCTCTAGAGCTCTGACCACCGGTAGCTTGGATTTCTTCCGTTACTGGTGGGCTACTGCTTTTTATATTTTTAAATGTTTTTTTTATGTAATCAAATATTGAAAAATTTATAAATTAAGTACAGAAATAAATAAAGGAAATAATATCAATGTGAAACGCTCTACTGGTTCAAGTTAGTTTTTACGTGAATAGATCGTTATTTATAGTTAATTTAGTATGTCTCACGAAAAGTTTATAAATAAGATTCTGGTTTTTACCTTTTGGTTATTATGAATGAAACTTTCAGGACTTGAACGTTTGATAATGTAACGATGAAAATTAATAGTTATGACCATATTACAATAATAGTTTTGAACTTTATATCAACGACATTAGATTAAAAATCCAATAAGAATATCTTTTGTCGTAATATAAATGTAGTCCCAACTGTTCCAGAAAGTAAAACACGACAACAATAATTTTATTGTTTAGATATTCGCCCTATTTAACAGAGGGATTTCATGTGCCTAAGCAATAATAGTAAAGTAAAGAAAAATAGTATTCATGTTCCCAAGAACATGAATACTATTTTTCTTTACTTTTACATTGAGTTTATCTGAATATATTTTCTTTCAAAAACAATGACTAAAAATTCGATCGAAACAAGTACTTAAAATAGTAAGTTTCAGTGTGGTTATCGCTATTTTTGCAAGTTGACCAATTTATGAACGAAACGCAGGATATGTCAAAATTCAAAAGAGGAATTGTCAAAGTCAGGTGTTGAATGTTAATTGCTTTATGTCAAACTGAATGGAAACGAGAATGCGATTAAATAATTAAATTACTTTAGATTTAATCATGTTTTTATGATTTTATTAAGTGTGAGAAATATTACAAGATGTTTACTTTAATGGGAGAGCGGGTCTTACATAAGTGCCTCAAGATTTTGAGGTTAACTGTGGCCGATTTCAGCAACTTGCCCGATATAAAGAAGTTGAACGCAGTTAGGACCGTGGAAAAGATAATAGATAATAATACAAGCATCTTTATCGAGAGTCCTATACATGTTAAAATCCAGCCAATTGATGTGGACGATCTAAAAGCTCACAACAAGCTGACCATGACATTGTACAGCCAGGGCAAAGAAACAAGCGACTTTCAAGTGAAACAGACATCCAAGCGATTGGAGTTATTCAACAAGAGTACCGCGTCCGATAGAAACGACGTCTGTGTCATACAGGTACCATACCATCTAAAAGTTCAGGTTACAACAACAGATTATGCATCTGTGCATCTAGCCAAATTAGAAGGACAGGAGTTTGTAGTTAAAACACAAAAAGGAACAATTAATGTTTCTAATCTGAAAGCCAAGAATATTGTGGTGGAGAGCATTGAGGGTGAAATTAAATCTGAAGGAAGTTTACAAGCTAATAATATAGAAATAAAAACTGGCCTGAACTCTGGTATTACATGTAACAATATCATGGCGTCTGGTTGCAATGTAACAACTCATGCCGGACCAATAGTAGTAAGGTCATGTTACTGTTGCAAATCACATTTCACCACATTGATGGGCAACCTGAGGCTTGACAACCTGCACAAATCAGTGATGATTGATGTCATACAGCAAGGTAATCTGCACATCACAGGCTTCTCAGGCAACTTGCAGGCTTCCTTGAAGAGTGGGGATGTGTACATGCATGCTTCACAGTTCAAAGATAAGAGCAGTATTTTCATACATGAGAAAGGCAAAGTTGAGCTTCTAATGCCAGATATATTGAAGAATTTACCTGCTACCAACTTGATAGCAGAGAAAATACTAGTTGATGAAAAGATATTGAAGTTAGGCCGATTTATGGATGACTCATATCCAAAGAGGTTCCGTTTTGAGAAAGAACCACACGATGAGTTGCACGTAGTTTGTAAGAATGGCTCAATTGAGTTGAAGGAAACCGACTTACCATTTTTTCTGTAGTAATCTGTTTGATATGAAATATGTACATTAGGTTATATTGGATTTATACTGTGGATCTTCATGAAAGTGCTTGTTACTTTTTTTAAAGAAGTTAATGTTACTTTATTAAAGGTATTTTTAACATTGTGATGTGTTGGTCATTTTGGTGATAATAATGTATTTAAATTGCAATCATGTAGATTATATTTCTCTAACTTCATTTATATTGTTTCTGCTGTGTGGGGTTTCATTGTACATGTAATGTACATAGATTAAAATAGGGGTGTGCATTTATGTAACTACAATGTGTAATGTGTATCTAATATTATCATTGTTGTGTCTTCCATGAACCACTCATAAACTATTTAAGATACATCATTATTCTCAGTAATGTTGAGCATAAGGTAATTAATATAATTTTTAAAGAATAATGTATTCAATATTATATTTAATAGAGTAAGGAGTACTGCCAAAGTAACATTTGTGTAATACAATTATTGTATTGTATTAAAACTTATTCATGCATTTACACCTAGCATTTGAAGTATTGTCAATTGAAATTATATTGCACAGTGATACATTAGATGATTTATTTTTGTAGTTCCTCAATAAGACATTAGTGTACATGCTTGTAATGTCTCAATACTGCTAGTCCTTATTCATTTTTAGAGTAAATACATAACTATTCTTATAGGACTTTAATATGTAAGTAGTTATTCAATATTGTTATTTATTCAGGTAGTGAATTGTTAAAAAGACCATTAAAATAAAATTGATTCATTTTATAATTATGTATTATTTGAACTGTCCTTGGGCAATGACAAAAATTTACAGATTAACTTCACTTAACCACTTTACTTTAAACCATCAATTATTAATTAGCCATAATTATAATATTAACCAGTATGTTTACTTTTTAACTAGGTAATCGTTAATTGGGTGCAAAGATGATGGGTTGTGTAGAGCGGGGCGCCGCCGCCTTAATGATAACGAGCCCATTTATATGCGAGGCGAGTGCGCGCACACTCCAGTCTTACTTGACAACCACACCCGCCATGCCGGCTTGTGCGCCCGAGTACAGCCGCCTCGCGCGCTCCAACACAGAGTTAGTGTTCTCACCGCGAGTTAAACGATGCTCACATCAGCCACCGCCCTTTACGGCTCTGAGGAGATCGTTCTCCTCCACCTTCTCGTTAATACCAGAGGAGCGCGCCATATCTCCTGAGCGACCACCGCCGCTGCCGCGTTTCGTCAGGATCATCACATGGGGACCACGGCTTATGTTACGACCTCTCTTCGCCATTTTGAGCCTAATCGCTCATCCTGCATGGAAACAAATTCTGGTCGTTCTACCTACATTATGGATCGCCGGCTCTTTATTCTTATTCTGGAAGTGTGTTCAGTGCCCTATTGGAGTTCTCAAAATGATTGGACGTGCAATTAACTCAAAAAACCAGAAGAAGCCGCGAACCGTGCTTATTAGTGGAGGCAGTTCTGTACAAGCCTTGCATCTAGCCAGAAATTTCCATTCAGCCGGGGCAAGAGTTGTAGCATTTGAAATAGAAGGGCAATTTGCACTGTTGAAATATTCAGCCGCAGTTCATAAATTTTATACAGTACCACGGCCCAATCCAGCTGATCCCTTAGCTTATGCGCGAGCATTAAGAGAAATAGTGGAAAGGGAATCGGTGGTGTTTTATGTTCCAGTGAGCTCAACTACGCCGGCATATTACGATGCGCTTGCAAAATCACATTTAGAAGTTCTTGGATGCCAGTGCTTTGTGCCTTGCGCCCGTGATGTTGTAACATTGGATGACCCTTTGGAGCTGATGAGGGTGTGTCGCGCTGCGGGACTAGCGACACCTCAGTTCTGGGTGGTGGCCAACGACGAAGATGTTCGTGCGTGGTACGATAGCGGTGCTTCTAAGGAGGGAAGACATTTCATTGCCAGTGCGGGCGCGCGAGGAGCTAGGGACCGGTTACGTTTTGTTATGCCAGAAGAGAAAGCTCAATTTAGATTCCCACGGGAAATCAGTGCGGAAAAACCATGGGTTATTGTTCGGGAACCAAAAGGAGAAAGGATTGTGACGTGTACTACTTTAAAAGAATCCCGTGCAGTCAACAATGTGTCATGCCGAGTGGACTCTGCAAGAAAAGGACTTGTACCACAAAAGGATGAAGAAGCTGACGCATGGGTGCAGCGATTTGTATCATTCCTCGCACCAGCGAGGCCGATGACTGGACATGTGTCCTTCAGACTTGTTCGTGAAGAGCAAACTACAAATGGTCACACTAATAAATTGGTGGCCATTGGTGCTCGCGTTGGTGTGTCTCTGCCGTATTTGTGCCAGGGAACGGCACGTTGTGGGCATACGGCAACCATGGGCAAGCTACTGGATACTGTGCTGGATACTCGTGAAGCCCTATTCACATTTTGGGATCCACTTCCCTACTGTGCGTACTACCAGTCGCGCACGCCAGACGACCGGAGGCCGCCGCCCCCGGAGCCCTGCAAGACGCCACCAAATGTTCCCCTTTGAAGTACAGTGTAGTGACGTCGTAGGAATTATTTATTAAAGACACTCAAGTACCTGAAGAGTGCGTGAGTGGGAGCTCTCTCTCGGCGTGTGCCATAGTTAAGTCGCGCTCTCTGTTTGTTGTTTGCTCATCCCGCTTGGTCCAAGTGTGTGATTGAGGAGCGATAAGATATGTTGTAACTACTAAGTAGATATTTTAAGTAAATTTGTACCTACAAAATGTAATGTTATGCCTACATTATTGTTAGGTTTAAGGAATAAAATATGTCGATATTATTTAAACCTTTGTTTATTTTTTCTATGGCACAGACTTTCCAGAGACAAAAAGTATGTTGATTTCACAAACAACACACTAAAATAATGAAATACATTCTCTAAGTCATTGACACTAGATTGTCTAATAATAAACCTTTGTAAACTTACAACTCTCACGCTAAACACTTACAGATTTTTTAAAACTCTTCATAATGATTTACAATAATTAATAATAGTATATCTAGTATTGTAGTCACGCAGACTATTTGTTATTACCATTTTTTATCACAAAACAAGCACGACGATAAAAGTTATTTTTCCACAAGATCTGTGGGGAAAAGTGTGATCTATGACCGGCCGGCCCCGGTGACCCGGACGAGATAAGCACTATCTCTTCAAGTGCACTACAATTTATAATAATATCGTATAGGTACTTACTACTTATCATGGTAACTGGACAAACACCGTCCTCAAGATGAGGGTAAGTAGACCATTAAGACAGGTGGCCAATAAATATAAATAAGAGTCGAAGTAGGTCTTAGCGTCTGAGGTAGAAGTGAAGTTGGTAGTTGAATCTTAGTAATGTTTACAAAAATAAGTCTCATCGTTACATCCTTCACTGGGTCAGTGATGTAAACTTGAACTGTTACTTAACAGCTGACCTCATAACTATGTGAAACAACCTTTATTTAAATAGGTATAAAAACAATTCAGTCAACCTTGTGCTAATGACAGCGTAGAGGGCAGCACATTAAACTACACCAATCTGTTAAATTTCTTTAATGAATTTTCAACTTTATTGCGAAGTGATAAGGTAGGCAATATGTTACTGAAGTTTAAGGAGTTGGGGATGGAGAAGAGACGAGATCATCAGTGGTATGGCAAAGAGACCTACACAACCACTATTAATTCAATCAAGTAGGTACCTAACTACCTAATCAAATCAATAAAGAATTAGAATTAGAATTTGATCAATTAGGTAATTATTCGATCAATAGTCTCTAAAAATAAGTTTTTTTGCGTTATCAGTTGTCGAGGTGCGGTCACCTCGGAGAACATACTCTACCGAGTCAATGGACATTTAGGAGCGGCTCCAATTTGTTGGTAAACAAAAACTCTGGAGTAACGAATTTATAAGTTGATGATTTTTATTTTTAAAATAGTTTATGTGTTCAATGTCCATTGAAGAACATTAAAACACCTTTAAAATTGTTGTAAGATTTGAATCTTAATACTTACTGAATATTTTTTCCGATCATCGAGACATACCGTGTTGTTTATTTTTTGTTAAACTTATGTCATTAGCTTCCACGGCCGCAGCTACTGCCTTGAACATACCTTTCAGTTTTACTTTACCTACAATACACGAATCTAATGGTTGTTTTTTGAAAAAAAACAAACTTATCTTTCATAGTTTGGAATGTATACCTACTAGTATAATTTTATTCTAAAGGAGAAAAACAAGATCGATGGTTGTATATTTTATACGTATTGAATTTGCTCTGAATCTACTGAACCGATTAGAAAATTTTATCCGTACCGGCAGGATCATGTTCTACCTCCTTAAAAGAGATCTTTAAAGTTTCAAATTCCATACAGGCAAGGTACCCATAAAGGTACCTAGTATATTGTATAGGTTATCGGGTATACATAGGTATCCATACTAAGTTTCAGTAGATAGATGAAGTTGTTTGTCAATGCGGAACTAGACTTATTATTTTGAACTATTGACATTAATTAAATTAACAAACATACATATGTAATGTAAGTACCTACTATAAAATAGTAATAAGTACATAATCATCTACAATATCATCATCCTTTTTACAGAGAGCCTTTATAGAGAGAGAAGGCTTCCAAAAAACGAAGACAGGTGATGGTAAAAAATGAGATTTATTTAAAAAAAAGTAGGTAGGTACCTACCTAATTAAAAATTGTTTGTATGTAATATGATAGTTGTAATCAACTGCTCAAAGCTGAAGTTGCATGAGTAACACTAAAACAAATAGGTACGATTTTTTTTTATTGTTAAATCATTTTGTTGTCCACTTTTTATGCGTTCCGTTTTTGTTTCATGATTTACACCCCGTATAGTTATAAGAATCTTTAGAAACTCTCTTCAATAGGTACATACAATTCATTAAAAAGCTTCTGAATATTTTTTATCGTGTGGCTGTAGACCGCTTTCATTTATCGGACATTTCAATGTCTTAAATAAAAATAGCATGCAGTGCACGACGTGAAGTGTTTATTTTTAAAATAAACGCGACGATGTTGCACTTTCATTATTTCTGAAACGAACAAAGAATTTCTCATCCTAATGTCACACTCGCCTATTGATTAGAAGTTTATATCTTGGAATGTTTAAAAGTATAGGTACTTTCTATGTCATAAGTATAGGGCAATCGTACATACGACGCGACGTAGATAGTTAGCGATCCACGTTCTCCATGGCATGCACACCCGCAATACCAACACCAGAAGCGTTTTGAATGTAGGTATTGCCGGTCTTCGAAACCTACCAACGGGAAGTACCAACGTGACTTTTTCCGACTTATATGTATGTACATACCTACTTTCTAATATTATTTAGACATCACTGGCAACGGTGAAGGAAAACATCTCGAGGAAATCTGGAAATCTTTCTAATTATAAGTTTTAAATCGCCATCCCGCAATAAGCAAGCGTGGTGATTAATGCTCAAACCTTCTCCGTCTGAGAAGAGCAGTGGGCACTTAAAGACTGTTGATGATGATATTCACCCCAGTCGAGCCTGCTGACTCACGTGATTATAACTAGTTTTCTAATGTTGATGTTCAGTTGACTATAATGGCGGAATGGCTACGTGATCGAAAAGGCTTACACAGCGGCTCTTATCTAGAAGAAGTTGGAAGAAAACATAGTGTAAGTTGTTTGTTTGTTAAGTAAATAATCTCTAAAGAACTTTGAGTCGCTGATAAGAACATTTCTTCATTTATGACTTTCTTTATCCATATCAAGTGGAAAGAAATTCATGATTAATCGTGTAATTAGGTAGGTACGTAACCATTATTATATCTGTGTATCGTATGTATATTAGAGAAATTGACATTATTATCTAGATCCACCTTTTTAATTATCAGTATTTATCGTAAAATGGCTGCCTCTTTATGTAGATATTCGCAATTGGTAGAACATTAAGGGCGTTGTTTTAATCATAGTATTATTCGTCGAAATGGTAGTCGAAAAGTCAAACGAATCACTTTGTACAAGTTTCAGCTCCCCTTCTCAAGTTACCAAGGTTGATTATTTACCAGATTATAATTATGCTGTTTTTCAAATCTGTCAAATCGAAAACCCTACTTATCAAAATGGTATTGAACCGCAGATCTTACAACCATCAGCAGTTCCATCAACGTCTCAGTCGACACATGATGAGTTGAGTCACATTTACTTGATTTGATAAAAACGTCTGGATGATCTTTTTAAAAAAAATATTTGAATAACATACTTAATAGTACTTCGTGATAATATTGGCACCTAAGTTACGCAAACATAGATTAACCTCACTATTGCAGTAAAAAATAAAACGCATCATAACAACTTATAATCTTGAATCCTTTCCTTTGTATTGAATTTGTGAAAGTCATAAGAAATGGGTCATTGGACATAAATAAAAGTTATTTTTAGTATTCCTTGAAAGAAATGCTATAAATAATGAAAATGCGTCAGCCATTTATTAGTGTTTGTGTACCGAGTACAAAATGTTGCAATCACGACACTGTTGCGTGATGGCTTTTAGACGATGAGTAATGATTTCTTTAAAACTTCCTTCCTGAAGGCATAGGGATGCAATCACAGAAATATTAAAAAATTATTATATCTGTGGATGCAATGCAATGTAACACTCACTTTTTGACAAGTTGATGTTTTTTTTTCAGTCTTATGTAATGTAATCTATCTACAATAAAAGAAAGTCGTGTTAGTTACACCATTTATAACTCAAGAACGGCAGAATAGATTTGGCTGAAAATTGGTAGGGAGGTAGCTTAGAGCCAGGAGACCGACATAGGATACTTTTTGACCAATTTTTTTTTTTTACTTTTTACCAAAAATCACGAACGGGGACAAGAAAAAATGGGATTACGCGTACGAGGTGGCGGGCAGAATAGGTAATAAATAGGAGGTGACGCAGCCTCATCACCAGTCCAGTATTTCCGATTTCCGATGCCCTGTTTTGTTTTGGTTTTGGATATATGTTTTTGTTTATTGAGAAATTCAATCATTCTACATATAAGTGAAACAAGTGACAAGTGAAACAAGTAAATTTATTTCTGAAAATAGGCTACAAGGCAGCACTTATGACTTTTACCCGTCAATTTTATCAAGCGAACGATGAGGTCGACAATGATGATTAGATTGTCTCTTTTTGCTTTTTGGGAAAGAACAACGTGGACAACAATATTTACTAAGTACATAAGCGCGTAATTCCATAATAATAAATGAAACATATTTATTTCTTCGTACTATTGAAATCAATGTGTAAAGGATATAAATATTTGAACATACGTATACAACAATGTGTACTAAAAGACATGCATGCATGCGCAGCGTAGACTTTGCGTTACGATAATAAAATGTACACATATATAAATTGTATGTATATATTATATAGATAGATATTTGCTTTCATCGCGTGTTGTGATTGCCATCACGTGAACCATATGCTGAACATTATTTTCAAAGTTCATGAGTTCCGCATCTCTCTG